AACTCGAATTTTTTTGGCATTATCCTTGAAATTCAATTAACAGAGGTTCTACTGTATTTATTTTTATTTCCATGTTATACTAAAGTGACAACTACTCATGTATGTTGATTTAAGTTGATAACTTCATAATGTCTATTGCTTAAACTATTTCAATTAAAAGTTTATTTCAAGCATCATGTATTTACTGACTGGCCTAGCCTTATTGTAAAACACATAAAATTCAATGAATCTAAAAAAATATTGTTATATTATTTAGCAATTTACAATTTATAAATAAATTTTTCCTGTCTCGTTCAACATTTGTTTAAGTGTAAATTTTTAATTTAAAGAATATCTGCACTTTAAAACTAAGTGTGTTATTCTTATAGATACTTTTTGCACATTTAACCTGTTCAATGTTGAATGCCGTAATAAACTATAGATTTTGATACAAAATACGTATAATTTATTTATAAACATTTTACATGGAACACATTTTACGTCTATTATTTCAAAATGTTCAAATTTGCAGTAAAACTAAAAAATTTGCTCGGTAAATTTTATATCACCTAAAAATATTAAAATATCATAGAATTATCAAGTATTTCTAGTAGCCAATCTTGACATTAGAATTTGCGTCTGCTTTAGAAAAACAGCAGATACATACGTTAATGATAAACTCAGGTTACATACGTAAGTGTGTAGGGCATGATGATATGTTCCATTTTTTATTCAGAAATTTATATTTAATATCAGTTTTTTTAATATGAAAATGAGAATGAAGAAAATAACAATGGAGTGATCGCAATAAACATAAAAAGGCAAGTAAGTAATTTTCAATATTTATTCTTATTTCAGTTTTGATGAAAGTTTTATTAAATTACAAAGAGATAAATATTAAAAAATTCCTGTAATAACTTATAAATCTTCGTTGATGAAGTGTTCATACCACTAAGTGGTAAAAAAAGGTCTTAAAAAAAGAAAAATTGTAATAAAATTCTTATAATTCAGGAAAGAATTACAACTTTAAAAAGATGAAATAAATTCAAATTGAAAGTCAAAAATCATAAACTTTGATTATTTTTTCTTTCGAATGAACTGAAGTTGCAGTTGTGCTTGGATGATAGCTATCGTCTATGTATGTCTTTGAAAAAAATCATTTTGTTTTATATTGATTTTTTTACCAAATTTAATCAACAACGATTGTTTTTTGCATTACATCCATAGCAAATACAAGTATTATTCTTTTCTACCAGAAATAGCTATTGATAATTGAAGGATAACAAAATTATATACAACCTGTCAAAGTTTATTAGATCGATAAGAAAAATAAATTATCGTAAAATGTTGTAATCCGTTGAGTAAGTAATGATCATCATTTATTTTTATCAGCAATGTAAGTGATTACAATAATTAAAAATTACTTTTTGTTATTTGCAAAATTATACTAATAAAGTACCAAAACAATAGACGTGTAAGTCGGGGCTCAATTGTTTGGCATAATCGATCACTTCTTTAATTATACCATCAATAAGTAGCCATAAGTTGAGGTATGACTATAGTCGTCCAGTCATATAAGGTCTGAAACCTGTAAATCCTCAAAAGGATGGAATTTCGACTTGATATTTTCAGGAGATGTAGAATTAGTTTCCCCTACGAAAGAGTGAGCTCCGATACCAGGCAAGGGTTGAAATCACTCTTTAAACGGTTTTCACGCATTTTTCAAGTTTTTTTTATTTTTTTAAGAAATATAAAAAATGTGGAGAGATGTTTTAAACAAAAGTTGTAGTGGCTACGATTTTACATGAAAAAGCCCGCATCTTTGCACTTTTACCTGCAACAGATAAAAAGTTAGTGACCTCTACAGATGGATAAAATTAAAAAGAGTGCAAATATTGAACACCTTTTGCTTACGATAGTACTGGGAAACAAACACCATAGAATAGACAAGTAGGGTTACGTTTATATATTAATAGTATAATAAAGAATAGCTGACGTCACAAGGTCAGCATTTTTAAGAAATGAAAAAAACTTGAGTGAGCCAAAACTGCGGATAATAATCACCCTATATAACATAAAAAATAAATATGATTAATCGACTTAGCATTAAAAACTGAGTCGATTAATACCATTTAATCTTGCGGTTTTGTGGATGTAGAATTGTAATTAAATCTGTCGAGTAAAAGAATCATAGTTGAGTCAGGTGAACCACTTGGGAGTTGCAGAAGCTATGCAAATAGTTATACAGTGAATTTTCTGTATCTCGACTTTCAAGGGAAATGCTCAAAAATTCGAGTTAATGAATAACGGCGATGCTAGACATGAGGAAGCTGGAAGGTGTTGCTTATTCTTAAAATGTGTTAATTGTTTCAAAGCTCACAGATCCTTGAGTATAGATTGTAAAGAGGTATGCAAACTGAAGCAAATAAGTGAAATGACCTATGAAAATGTACCCTTTTTACTTACAAACTAGGAATATATAAGAAAGAAACTGCACTTACGCTCACACTAAGGAGAATAACTAAGGAGAAGTTTTAGCTAATAATCTACAGAATTATCCAAGATTAAGATTAGGGGCTTTGCCACCTAAACCTTGGAATCAAATGGTAATGTTGCAGAGTAATGGTTTGGAGGAAGTGAATAATATGACTCCAGAACAATCTTTAGCTTCAACAGTGAATTTCCCTGTATTTCAAGATTTTTTCAAACAATTCATTGAGATGGTAACCAGAATCTTTGGTCCTGACAAATTAATTCCCAGACCTTGGAAGTATATCTTTATATATGGAGCAAAATGGTAGGCATCAGGAACAATAATAGTATTCGTTTTCTCCAATGGAATTGTAGAAGTCTCAAACGCAAGATGGGTGAGCAACGACATTGAACAGGAGATGTAGATATTTTTTTGATTTCAGAAACTTTTTCTTTTGCAATTTGATGGAAAGTCTATAATTAGAAGGGACTTTTGAGCATATCATCCTGCATGGAGTGATACTAAAAGGTGAAGCGAAGGAATCAAGACTTTTGATGCTTTGGAGAAGTGAAATGTCGGTGTGTTGAATGATAGCTCTGTTACATTCTGTTCTCGACAACATAACACTGGAGTTTTTGTTGATAGTAAATCACTTGTGTCTTTCAATTGGTCAATATGTAATGATTTATGGGAAAGTGATCACTTTTCCATTATATTTACTTCTAATGAAAAAACAGATAGTAGAATGAGAGGGATACGGCGGTTTTCGTGGCGCCACCATTTGAGGATGTCATTAGATAGATCGACCAAAAATAAATCGAAAATGGAGAATAAAATTTTTCATGCATGTTTCTAGACAATTTTGGCTATAAAACGCTAAATATTATAGACTTTTTATACTCGAAGTGCATCACGGGAAGGTATTGTCTAATCGCACTTCATATACAACAGAAGGGGACTCCTCGGCTCGTCACTTCCGAAGTATTTTACGATTCCAAACCCCTCCTGTCGTGTTGAAACTGATTAGTCTTAAAATACATCTTCACAGTTATACTCTGGATCAGAATCATTTTCTATCGCTCTGTCGATATCGTTTTCTTCTTCATTCAAACCATCGTCTGATCTTATTTTTTTCGGTAGTGGTAAATATTTTTCTTCTTGAGATGATGTAGAAAATGGTGGATCAATACCTTTAATTGTTATCCCCTTCTTCAAGTTTCCTTCCACTACTGCCGGATATACTTTTTTAATATCAAGAAAGAATTGCATGATTTTAAATTATGTTATTAAATTTATTGTCAAAATAATAAGAAGCGCATTATCATTCTGAAAAATACATTCTCATTATGTAAACAATGTGTCACTGTATTCTTAATTGTTATCTTCAAATGTAAATAATAATGCACTGATACAATACGATATTTATGCTTAAGACTCAACACTTGGTTGTAAACAAGTAAAGCTAATTTTAACTCTGTTTGATGACTTCGGACAGTTGAGTCATACAAAGGACTCTTTCTTTAATAAGTTTTGGTACTCTATCCTTACACTGCAAATCCTAGGATTTCACAAACGTGTTAAAATAACACGCGTAAAGTGTGTTCAATGCAAAATGCCCATTAACAAACTATGCATGATTTGTAGACAGTTTTTACACGTTTCGTAGTGTGTGAAAAATCTATAGTTTGTTTATGACATTTAACATTGAAGAGACTTATCGTTTTAAAAGTGTTTGCAACTTGGATTTGCAGTGTAGAGTATGCATATGTTTATTTACAACAACCATTTGTAATTTTAAAACATACGGAAAAAAGGTTTAGATCTCTTTGCCTTTACAATACATTAGTTTAAACTTTTAGTTAGTTTTAGACGACTTTCCATTGCCAACCTAAGTGTTCAGAAACTAAACACTTAAAGTGTTTTTAATGTTGAACATTATAGACGAACTATGGCAATTTTGTAGTCGACTTTTAAACGCTTTTTGCCGTTTACCAAAATGCTATAGTTTATTTATGGTGTTCAATATCGTAAACACTTCGGTGTTTAATTACTAAACCTTTTAAGTTTATCACTAAACACTTGAATGTTTCCGGATTCGCCGTGTCTATAGCGTGAAGAAGTTTTCTTTGAATGCAATTCGTCTTTTAATAAAGACAACTGAGTTATATTTTTAAGTACAAATTCAGCTTATTAATTGATTATTTCTTGATCACCCTTCCGCAACTACCAACTAATTTTAATGTACTTCATGCATTGTAAAATGGCGTTACCCACTTGATAAGCATTGTATCCACTTCTAGAACACTTTGAAATAGAATACTTTCAAATCTAAGATTCGCAGTGTAATAATAATTTGGCAATAATTCTTTATTATGACAATGTTTATTATATAGATAGATAACAACAAATATGAAATTACTGAAAACCCGTTCTTGCAAAATATCTATTTTATTTAATAAATTAATTTAGTAATATAGTTATAACAATATTATTAATTGTTTCTTATTATGCCAGTTAAGTGACTGATCGTATCAATATAATGTTTCAGACACGTCGCAATAGATGAGGAGTCTCCAAGCTCATCGTTCCCATTACCAGCAACTTCACAAGATATAACGAAGCCAATTTTTAAAACATTCGATGATTCTCACGATGATGCTAACGTATATGTCACGCACAAGTCACCACCCGTTAAAGTAGAAAGTCAGTCAACAGTATTTCATAAGCTCCCTATTTCTAAATGTCTAGAAAACAGGGTGAGGGTTTTCACAAGAATTTCCAGTGCTGAGAGAAGGCCGAGATTGTCAATCGCAGATAAAATCAGAGTAGCACGTAGCAGTACTTTAGATTCAAGTGTTACTCAAGGTACAGCCGTCTCGAGGTTACTCTCTGTGAAAGAAAAATTGACCAGCACAATTGGGTCTCTAGACGGTCGTCAAGAACCTTCAAAGGTAGAAAGAAAAAGAGAAACGACTCACGCTAAATACGAGCGATCGTATATCCATGACAATCTTATTCAGCAATCAAGCAGTACCTATTCCTTGGAGAAATTACCAGAAGACATCGACAGGGATTCAAGAAAAGATAGTGCTGTTTGTCTGGAAGAAACTGAAGAATTGGATGCTCTTAAAGAGCGCCTACTTGAAAGTGATCCTTATGCTTCTAAAACGTCTAACTCCTGTAAACTTCCTCCACTCTTGACAACACAAAAAATTTCTTCAGCTTCTGCTTTAATTTATGAAGATACTGAAGAAGAAAAGAGTAAAGTACTTCATCATCCTTCATTAGCCAAGTATTATCGACCAAGACGTGAAAGTAGTGGATATTCCAGTAACCTCTCAACTTTTGATGAAGATCGCAGAAATTCTACTACAGACACGTTGCAAAGTTTTACTGCACATAAGGATAGACGGAGATCTTCAGCAAAAAAACTCAATATTGGTCGATTCGCGAAAGAAGAAGAAATAGAGAGAATGCCAACATCAGAAGTTTATCGGAAAATTTCCACAGCTGGGCTAGAAATGCCAAATATTACAGAACTTAAAGAAATTACGGAAGATGTACGACTTTCATCTAAAGATGACATCGTATGTTTACCAACTCTTGATATTTTTCCTGATATTTCAGTAGTAAAAGAGAGGCGTAGATTTTCGAAAAAGATTTATGATAAAAATGATGAGACTGAAACTCTGGAGATTATCAAAGAACGCGGAGATATTGATCAAACAAAGGAACATCTTCAGGGAATTTTACAGAGTGTCACTGAACCAGTACAAGAAAAGGATATTAAAGAGATCAAAGACCGACTCTCTCAATCAACCTTGACCATTGACAATAATGGAAAAAATCCTGTACATCGAGACAAGTTTTCAAAAAGTTCAATTCCAAGTATTTCCTCACTTGATGTTTTATCAAAAACAATTGATACTTCTGTTCAAAAAAAACCCGAAGAATTACAGCGGTTTGATTATCTACGTCAACATAAAGAATCAAGTCGTACAGAAACGAATAAAGACGGTCGATTTAAGTTAGAAAATATATCTAATACGAAAGAAAAAATTGTAAGATCTCAAAGCTGTAATTTTCAAGAAAGAAGTTCTCTTAATTTTTTAAAACATTTAGTTTCTACTTCAAATTCTAGTCCTAAATCCCAGAGGCCATTTAAGCAAGTTACTCATCAATATAGTACGTCTTTATCGTCAACTACTGAATTAGAAAGTATTGCAGAGAAACCTCAAAATGTTACGCGGCTTCAAAATCCTGTGATGGTTATTAATGATGGTGATGATGACAATGATGTAGAAATAAGTAATAGCAAAAGTGAAAAAGAAAATGTAGGAGTAAATATTCTATCAAGATCTGTCAAAGTTTATCAATTACTGTCGACCCAATCAGAAGATCATGGCGATGATGAGCCAAGGTTGATGGATAGAAGGATATCTCTTCAAATACCTCGACATGATGAAGAAGAATCACTTCCATGCACAACTTTGTGTACTCCGGAGGATAAAAGACTTTTACATACGGATAGCTCACCATTGCTTCAAATTTCAAAATCTGTGCAAATGCAAGATCAGAGTTCGAGATTAAAAGTCAGTGGATTATCTCCAGTGAGGAAACTTTCATCTCCAGGAGAAGTTGAAGTAATTCAGAGAATGATAGGAGATAATGGGAATGTTGGTATCAGACCTATTTATCCATATTGTCCTTATTCACCTTATGGAAGTCCACAAGGATCGCCAAGGATACGAAGAAGGCCCCTTAGAGAGAGCAGAAGAGTTTCCATTGACAATAGACAAGGGGCTTTTCAGCTTAATCAGTACAAACTCCTCGATACAATTGGTCAGGTAAGAATATTTTATTTTATTTTATGTAACCAATACAATAAAATAGCCATCAAAATATTTGATGAATTTCTTCATTTATATTTTCATTATTTTTCATACACTTCTTTTTTTAAAATGTCTATAAAAAACTTAAATTAAATGTTTGATATCAGGCAAAATTTTTATGACAAATATTGGAATAAAAATGAAAAATATTTACTATGTGCTGTTATTTGTGAAAAATTCAAAAACTTTTCAATGTTTACAGTATTTATTGTACAAATGCAGAATCTTCGTATATGTTTTCAATTAAATTAAAAATTTTATATTCAATTACGTTGTACAGAATTCTCATTGATTGATCACTCACATTCAAACTAATACTGAATTTTTATAGAAATAAATATTTAAAATTTTTGTTATTATTTATTTAAAATAATTTTATAATCGAATTGATGATAAAATAGCCAGCTGTATAAACAATTGAAGTTTTTTTATTATCAACCAGAGTATTTTTCATTCAAATGAATGTTTTTTTATTTTTCACTTTTTCAGTTTTTGACAAATATATTAATATTTGGTTGAAAGATAAAATATTAAAAAAAGTGAATGTTTGTCTATACATTTATTTTTCGCTAGTCATTCATTTTATGTAGCATAACGTCAAGTTAAGCCACACAAAGCTATATGTGAATCGCTATACTCCTGAATTACGACGAGTAAACTGCATCCTTATGTATACATAAATTTATTCTGTCAGAACTCGTGAGTAATTTAAGTGCAGGATCAAGTTCATATATGCTTTTGTACATACGTGTATAATTTTGGCTGAAATATTGAATTTTAGGACACATCCTGGCTATATGGTCACTTTAGATTGCAAACTATATACTTCTATACTCTATAAAATAAGCTTCATGTTTATACACATTCTCAAATTTGTTCAGTAAGAATTTGTAAGTGGTTCGAATTTAGAATAGAATTTTCGTATCTGGATGGAACCCTTTATTTACATTTTCTAAAAATAAACTCTCTGTTGTATAATTTTTTTTCAATTGAATGAATAGTTTTTTTAAAATTAATCCATTAATCAATCTTCTTCACAAAATAAGAAATTTTTCACTAAAGGAAAATTACAGATAAAATAGCATGAATTTGATTGATGGCATTGACAAGGATAAGTTGTTGCTTGCGGTTAGATAATCATCCTGGTATATTGCCCTTGTTGGAACAAAACGAGTTCATGGAAATATATTTCTTGAGGCTTTTATTTATCTGATAAAAAACTGACTTAGTTCTTTTTTTTATTAAGTTACATATCTCAAGGAAAGTTTTCAAGGGCATTGATGTGAATTATAAAATTAGATTCAAGCTAGAGAGAAAAGTAAAACCATGAAGCTAACATACAAAGTTCAAGAAGTAATGATCAGTATTCTGGTAGACTGAGGTATAAGATGCATAAAAAGATATCTAGAGCATACACTTGATAAGATCTTTTCTTAGATAATTTTTTATTCTTTTTGTCGTCACTTTTCTCTACTATCTATTAAATTGAAAATACTTTACAACATCTTTGAGATCTTTTTATCACACCACATGACCTTTAGAGATTTCCTTTTTTGCTCTAGGATTATTTTAATTTACTTAAAATTTCTTCAATCGTCGAAAAGCTGTCAATTTTTATCATAAATTTTCTTCTTACTTTCAATATTTTTTTCATTATGGAACTTTTTAAAATAAATATCAACAATTTCTTTTTAATTCATTGCCAACATTGCTTAAGAAGAAAGATCATATAATTAAATTTTCATTTTCAGGGTTCCTACGGAATAGTCAAATTAGCATACAATGAAGAAGATGAAACTCATTATGCCATGAAAATTTTAAGTAAAAAAAAATTGATGAAAAAGGCAGGCATTTTTGGAAGAATGGCCCCTGGCAGAAAGGGTGTTTCTAACCCTTTGGCAAAAGTTTATAGAGAAATTGCTTTGCTAAAAAAATTAGATCATCCAAATGTCGTCAAACTAGTAGAAGTACTTGATGATCCTGAAGAAGATAATTTATACTTGGTCTTTGAACTGGTACAAAAAGGTGAAGTTCTTCAATTACCAACTGATAAACCACTTGATGAAGAAACAGCGAGAACAAATTTTCGGGATGTTGTATTAGGCGTAGAATATTGTAAGTCAAATCTTTAAAAAAAACTTCCTTTTTTGATATTTATTTGTTGAACAATTATATTTTTTATTGGAAAAAAAATCATACTGAATGTAGTAAAAGATAAACAAATTCATTCTTTAAATTATTAAATTATTATGAATTATTTAATAGAATATATTAGTTGATTAAAACATTGTATCATTCTATTAAGAAAACGTAATTATAAAAAAGCAAGGAATTATAATAAAGCATTCAAAGAATTCTTTCAATTATTACAGAAATACTTATTATGATTTGAAACATTGAAATAGAAAAATAATTTAAATGTAATAACTAATTAAATTAGAGTGACCATGAGAATATGATCTTATTTAAAATTCATTGGTTAATGAAAATTTTTTTTATTATTACACTTGCACTTGACATTTTTCAAAATGTATGCTAATTAGAAAATTACATGATACCACATTAACTAACGATTAATAGACTTATTTCTTATTGTAAGATGTGGGTTGAATTTAATAATATTGAATATTATATAACAACCTGAAAAAATCAAGTATATCACGCTTACAGCTTTAATAATAATTATCACGATGTAAATACTCGATCAGAATCTAATTGGTGAATATTTTTAATTGACTTACTGACATTTAAATACATTGGTATTTAAATCAATTCGAGATTATTTCCAACTATAGAAACGATTAAAAACTCGCAAAATGTTAACAAAAATATCATTAACTGTTTATTATTTCAAAAAATAGATAATTAAATTTAGATGAAAACCACCAATTATTGCAAATTCAATTTACATAATAAAATTAAACTATTGTTTCAGATTAATATTAAAATATAGAATATAAGTTAACTCGAAAGCTTGTTGCCATAAATTAATTTGTCGTTAACATATTTCAGTACACTACCAGAGAATAGTACATCGGGACATAAAACCAAGTAATTTATTGGTTGACAGTGAAGGTCATGTTAAAGTTGCTGATTTGGGTGTAAGCGCAGAATTGAGAGCTTCTGGGGAACTTTTGTCCGGATCTGCTGGTACACCAGCCTTTGCAGCGCCTGAAACAACAGTTCCTGGTGCTCAATACTCTGGAACGGTGAGCAATAATTGATCAATAAGCTTAAATGGGCTAAATTCTTTCAGTAAAATGAATTTCACACCATTCGTGCGCTATCTTTGAATGTTTCACAAAGAGACAGTGAAAATTCAAGCAGTTCTAAATGGCCTTTTCAGTCGCTTTCTAGGTTTGAACACTATTATTGTTTAAGTAACAATGCAAAACTTAAATAGATTGCTCGTTAATATTTTGAAGCCTTTAAAATATATGTCAGCGGATAGTGAAGGGTTGTTTTCTATAACTACATTATTCCGTTACTTATTCTCACATAGTTTGACCTAGAATTGTGAACGATTTATTCCGGAATGAGAGATCCACTTCCATCATCCATGATAGCATTTATAACTTCCTGTGTTAATATGCTGTTGCCATAAATTTTAATTAATTCTCACTTGATATAAAACATACTTTTTTTTTACTCATATCTATTCGAGTAGAATAGGTTTTATTTTTTGAAATAGTAACTAGAATAATTATAATTCTACTTATACATTTTCTTAAACTCAAATCGATAATTAAGATTCTGTCATATCAATTGGTTTTTATGATCAAGATGAAAAAAAATTGTACTTAATAATCTTTTCAGTATTGTAGTAATTAATGAAATAAGAAAAGCTCCGATTTCTTTTTAATTTCTAACTACCGTATATTTTCATTTTCTCATTTTCAATTCACTTTAATGTAAATAAATTTATTTACTCATCGATTTTTTTATCTTCAAGCTACAGAAACATCCATTTATTGTAATGATGAAGACAGATTCTTTTTACTTGATTTAATTTTTTTTCAAAGATCTAATCTCATCTCTTTTTATTATTTCATCATTGCTCTAATAATTTTATTCACTTCTTTTACTCCGAATAAAATAATTAAAACTGAGAATAATTATTCTAGAAGATAATTGGCATTCCCATTACAGATTCTAATCGAAAATACGATGAAAAATCGTAATTTCAATTAAATAAATCCAGAAAACTTTTAACAAGCCAATTTTCATTGGTAAAATACAGAAAAGAGATTTGTGAACTTTTCTAGTTGATTCAACTGCAGACAGAAAATAGATAGCCAACACGTGCGTGTCTTTGAGCGTAGGGCAAAGTTGATGAAATAATGTAACAAGTTGAACCACTCTATTGTTTGATTGGATTGTGGTGCTTAGCTACTCAAATTATTTGGCTAGAATACAATTTATTTTCCCACATTTCTATTCAAAATCTACTTTATACCTCTAGTATAATTTAGACTGTTCGTCTGGAATATTTTATCAAAATTACTTTTGCAACAGAAAAAATATTTCATTCATTTTAATCATTGACGAAGTATCTTAGCTGATTTATTGATTAAATCAATTTGTATTCCAGCTATGTGATGTGTGGTCCATGGGTGTGACGCTGTATTCATTAGTGACTGGAAAAGTACCTTGGGATGGTTCAGGAAGCATTATTGGAGTTCAAGCAGCAGTGCGAACTGAGCCTCTACGTTTTCCAGAAAAACCAGAATTATCTGAAGATCTTCGTGACCTGATAACACGAATGCTTACTAAAGATCCAGCTGTACGATGCAGTTTGCAAGAAATAAAGACTCATCGTTGGTTAACGAACCATGGAAAAGAGCCACTTCTTAGTGAAGCTGATAACTGTCGACTTCCTGTCACTGTCACTGATGAGGAAGTTGCACGAGTTGTTACAAGAATCCCTAAACTTGATACCTTAATTCTTATTAAAACGATGCTCAAACAACATAGCTTTCAGGTAGGTAACTATTGAATATCCATCAAGAAAGTTGGATACTTAAACTGATTAATGACAATTATTATCAAAGTTCTCCTTCTTATACAGTTCATTTTCTTTTATTAACATAAAATAAAAATGGATGAATAGGATAATTTTATATTAGATATTTACCGCTCGAATTCATACAAATAAAGAATAGCAGTAAATACATGATATTAAAATATTTAAATATACGGGCGATGTAGGTGTAATAAAAAACGGAGTATTTTAATGCTTCAATAAATGTTAACTTATGTCTATTATTCTAACATTTAATCCAGTTCAATTCTTTAGAGGATAAAATTAACAAAAAAAATTATAACTGTCCATACATTGAGACAGAACTTATAAGAATTTTCTGAAATGCTTTGTTCGAAATTATAGTTTCGTAATTATATAATTCGAAATTGGCTATAAGAATTAAAAAATATCAGTACTCTTTAGCGGTCTGGGTGCAACCTGAAAAGTCTACACGAGTAACTTCTCAGTGGAAAGAATGATAGAATTTAGCTAGTTTATCATTATTCTGATTCTACATAAAAAACAGCTGAACCGATTTCGCTGAAAACCTTATCGGTTTTAAATTGCGTAATTATGCATCGAGTGCAATTAGTCCCACGTCGATGTCATCCTTTGTTCTCGAGATAATCGAGATGAAAAATAATTTCGAACGCACATACGTACGTACATATACACATACCTAGATGTTCACTTGAATGCTTTTGTATTCCACTTCACGGACCTTGAAACGTGAAGATATGTCAAAATTCATGATTTCACTGGGAAGTTAATAATTACTGAACAAAAATTTAAAAGCCAATTTTAAACATGTATCCTTTTTTAGCGATTGAATTCTCTACTATTTTAGCAGACAAGTTTCTTCACTTAATGTGGATAAATAATCTATATACTATACAAATAAACTATATGTTGGTTCATGAAGTATTTTTGAGCGTATAGATGAAAGAAAAAAACAGAAATTGATATAAGAGAGAAAATAGCAATTATAAAGTTTACGTTTGTTGAATAGATCTGTCGTCAATAATTAAAGTAGTCATTTGTACACTAGCTGACTTGAAACATCGGAAGTTTAGTTGTTTCTATTGTCAGTTTCTGTAGTGTTACAGGTCCGGTAATTGAATGAGAAATACCTATCGTGCACAAACCCGTTACAATAGTGTGCTATACCAATTAATAGCTTTTCAATTTGTCTGTTGAAAAATTTGTTCATTATAAAGAAGGAATTAGTGACCTTCGAGAGCTACAAAAGTTAAAAATTACTGACCTTCAACATTGATACCATTGATGTCAATGACTGATGCTCAGTGAATCAACAATGACAAATACCTTCATAGTGATTAACGACTTTTGATTTCCTTTTTGCTTTTGTCATGTTGCTTTGAATTAAGCAAGAAAGGCAACAGCCAATGACCCTATAGCTAATTTAGTTCTTTGATTAATGAGACGAGTTGTAAATTATTTGATAGAATGCTTTTATAGTTTGTAGAGTAATAAAAGTCTTTTATAATAAAATAATTAGTTAGATTAATAACTTAAATTTGAAGCTTTAATTAAGCTCCAAAGATTTCAAACTTTTATCTCTAGCTACAAAAAAATAATATTACGGGAACATCATCACGTATGTTCTTAGATCAATTATATAAATTAGCCCATACATTTTTTTATTAAATAAATTATAATTTTGACGAAGTAAGTTAAGAAAAATTTTTATGAAGCTTTATGATGATACCTATACATTATAAACACATTCCTGAAGTAATTAATGTCAAGTAATATTGAGCTTATTGTTTTTTGATTCTTTATTTGTTTTTTAAAATTTTATGTCACTTTTATCTGCTATGCTATTAGGGAACATCATACAATTTTTTATAATCAGATAGTAATACATTTTTTTTAATAAAATAATAACTGTATTTTGTTTTTTTATTCTACCGCTATTTTTTCATGTAGGAGTTCATGCCATGAACAAATAGCTATCATCATCTCATTAGGAAAAAACAATTAATTTTAGAAGTAATTCCGACCTTTTGTGTTGACAGAACCCATTTTTACCCAAGAAAAGCGTAAAACCTAGCAGAGGAGATGTCATATCCGGGAATCTTGAACTCCCTTCGACAAGTTTGGGTAAAACTCGAGATTTAGGGAATCAAAGTAAGACAGCTCAATTTCATCGAGCCGGAAGAAGTAATTCTGCTCCAGATTCTTATGAGTGGCAGGCAGGTGGAAAGTAAGCTTTTTTATTTATCTTAAAAATTTATCCTCGAATTATTGTCAAGGAAATTGCTAGTCTATCATTTACCTTTTTTCACGAACTTTTATTTTTTTCAGACAAACGACTGCTGATCCGTCGTTACCACCAGTTACAGAAGTTTCGATTCCAGAAATTGATGTTGGAAAACGGTGATGTAGAATCAAATCAGACGAAAAGGATGGAAAATAAATTAAAGTCATGAATAATACACTGTCGACTGATCGGGACCAAAGATAGTGTCGGCTATTATTGGAGATGATTTGTAAACATTGACCATTAAAAAAGTCGCTCAAACAAACCAACGAAAAATCACTCTTCTACATAAATAATTTACATAATTTTTCGTTTCAGCTTAAATGATAAAAATCTGTCAAATGAATTTAATTGTATTATATTAGTGTTGTTGATAAAGGTAACGGCATTTATAAATCTAAACTGTTTAACTTAAAAATCAAGATCCTACTCATGCGACTTTAAAGATATAATAAGTTTCCAATATTAACTACTTTCATCGATTATAAAATAAATTTATCGACTCACACGTCATAAATCAATGATAATAATATAAAAATTATATTTTTCAATCATTTATGTATTAAATTATCTTTTTGTTAACAAGTACTTATTTAAATATTTATTTTTATTATTTGTCGTTAATATTAGCATAATAATTAATATATTGTTAAAAAATGGGCGTACCTGAAAAATCGTAATATGTGATGAAAATCTTTTTCATGAATATCCAAGTAATAATTTATACTAATTATTAAACACATGTAATTATTGTGAATTGTAATTTTTAGCATTTAAATTCAACCATTTGATAATTAGACAAAAAATTCTACATTTAAAATAGGTAGTGAATAATTATAATTCATACGATAATATTTAATTAAACTTATTTTCCACTAATGATTAAATAGAGAAATACTTATTACAAATTTTTATCGATTATTCTTTTAAAATTTTAAAATGATTGTAAAAAAAAATGATTTTTGGCGTGACTTATAATATCAGTAAGCAAATTGCTTATATCGAATAAACAATTGGTGATTATGGCTAAAAAATTCAATTTTTTGATTGCGTGAAAAATGGTAGCAATGTACCATGAATATAAAACATATAGAGATATAAATGCATAAAATGTACACTGAATTTTAAATCAATCGAGATTTAATAATGGATGTTGGTACTTTTGAAAAGCGATTATCTAATTTTGAAAGCGAAAACTCTACTAAAAATGTAAATTATTATTAAGAAACAACGATTTTTCCTGTAAGTGGTCCAAAGTCTTATAAAAAATTATGTCGAATTTTATCATGTTGATCATGATGTAGATATTTAAATATAAATTAATTCAGATCGTATTAATAAAAATTTATATAATTAAGCTCAAAAGTAATTAAAGTGTCACTCATTAAAAAAAATTATCGGTCGATATAGTTGATATAAATATCTGACATTTATATTCTTAATAATGCACAAATTTTTTACATAAAAATATTATGCACTTAAATTTGGAATAATTAAACTCTTGTGATAAATAAAATCAAGTATATTGTATATGTTATTCTTTAAATGATTGAATATATTTTAAAAAGTTTGAAGATCTCAAATGAACTTTATCACTAACAGACTGTGTTAATTAAAAAATTTTACTCATCTTTAGTACTTTATTTAAATAAATAATTGATTTTAAAAAATCTTAAAATTTTCTGACAATCATCGTGGCATATAAAATTTCAGCGAATATCCTTCCATTTCTCATATTAAAACTTGTACAAATGTGCTGTCAAATAAGAATAACTGTTAATGAAAATTATATAAATAGTATTTTTTTCTGCAATGCTGTTTATTTTTTTATTGACCTTTTTAGCCTATCAGAAAATGGTAAGTATTAATTAATCAATTTCAAAGATTTTTAATTCAACATAAATGTTTATTTAGCATAGGTTGTTTTTGCCTCTTTTCTTTCATTGGTTCTCTCAACTTCCATTTTTTCCAAAGTTTCCATGATATTTCAATTGAATTACCTGAAAAAGATAAAAAAAAATTTTATATTTCTTTCCAATGTATTAATTATCAAGGTATTAACAGAGAAAATTATTTTTACCTTTAGGTTCAGCTGGAAACTCATTACGAGCCATGGTAAATGGTTTTTCTACCGTGTCGAATAGAAACGTTGACAATATTGATTGATTGACTGGCTTATGAAATTCTAAAGCAAATGTTACAACTGATAAATATAACGACCATCTGGCTCCAAAATATTCAGACATGACTCCGGCCCATTGTTTATTCGCATAATCTCTTATTTCTCCGTTTGGGCCCCACAAAGTTATTTGATTACGAGCATTGAACTCGTATAATTTTTTTTCCTCAACATTGGTTCCCAATGATCGAGCATCTTTAATCCATTTACCAACTAGGAAATTTTTATTGGTGCTTAAAATGCTTTCTAAATCACTAAATATTTGCAGTAACAAGCTGGCTTGTGCTCTAAACAATTTAATATTACATTAATAAGTAATAATATTATATCAAAATAAATTAAATCGAATAATTTCAATACATACTTGAATGCGGCTAAATCTTTTTCATGGAAACTTTTTTGTATTTTGAGATATACATGTTCAGCAATTAATTGTAGTGCTTGTCTAGTAACATCAACTAGATCATGTTGATATAGTAAATTAGATCCTCGACCAATTCGAGCTTTAAGCAGAAACTTCCAAGCGTTATATACTGATGATGGATCATACCATGTCTGTAATCAGAGATCATTTTTATTGTTAATCTTAATTTCAAGATAGTTCAATTTTAATTATATTGTAAAAATACTAATAGAAAGAAAATTATTACGTAGGTGCTGATGCGCATACTTGGTCTTCTCGTTATCACATAATGTCCTCGAATCCTCTGAGTACCATTAAAATTGTAAACAGAGTTTTGTAAAAACTTCCATGCTTCTACTGCATACTCATTCTTACATCCATATCTTCTAGATGCATAATTTTTGAACCTTAAATATTTATGCAAGTAAATATATTCAAATTGATTTCAATACTCATTCAATTATTCTCTAAATGTTTTACCATTGATCAAGATTAACTGGTCTTTTTCTATATGCCATTTCATTCATTAGATCATATATCACATAATTTTGATTAATTCCTTCAGGTGTCAGACCAGTACCTATCATTGTACTTCCATTCATATTTCTCGCTTCGAATACTCGCTGGAAATAATGGTCGGAATGTTATTTACAAATATTGACAGATAATTAAACAATGATAATTTCATATAATACCTCATTAATAATTGCAGCTGAACCAAACATACCCAACGTGCCTCCAAAATTGTGGAGCATACACCAGATAAAGGGCTGGCCATAATATGAATCAAATTTGTCATACTGTGGAAATTGTTCTGATTGGAGATCGAGGATAATCATTTTACCCTAGACAAAATATAGTGTTTTATTTTTGCATTTGAATTCAATTAATTCCAACTTACGATTGGAACTGAAGTAATGAAAGCTTTGACTCGATCTCTCGTCCAAAAATAAAATTCATTTACAAATAGCCATCCTTGGAGCATCCTTGAAAAAAGCACATAGAAGAAAATCGGTCAATATCTTAAAAAATAATCCATTTTAATTTTATTAATTTATACCAAATAGCTTGTGGATCAACATCTGTCATAGCTGAATAAATGGCTTGTCCAACGCTTCTCAACGAATTTAATTCACCATCCAAAGGTTCATTTTCATTGAATGTATCACAATTATACACATGATTAGTTCCGAATTCTTTTATATACTATAAATAGATAACACCGATGACATTATTATCTGATAAACATTAACGTAAGAGTTTAAAATATTATCATACCGTCTGAAGAAATTTTTTTCCAATAATTTTGAAAAGCGGATCTTGTGGTGATATTAGATACGGACTAGAAAATTTTTAAATTATTACAATGTATTTTTTTAATAGCTTACTGAAATCTTATTCAATTAATAATTACCAACAGTATTTGTCATCAAATCCATTCCAAGAATTTATTTTTGTCATATTGGCGTTGGGATACAGTCTACGAAATGCTTGAGGTACATGACCAGCAAAAGCTGGCAAAACTGGAATTATTCCAAGTTTCCTCATTCTATTGAGTATTTTATGCTGCAGAGTGATAGTAAAATTGTGCCACGATGGAGGTAATGGACCACCCCAGCCTCTGATATTACCCATTCTTGCCCTAATTGTAATCATACAATATGCTTTAAAAATAACAGTATTCCTCAAGAACAGTGACATAAATTACCAATTATTTAGATAATTATATACTATCACAGTCATCCAGTTTTTTGTAAAGAAAAAATATTTTTGAACAAAATCTAGTCTCTAACTCAATTATAATCTTTATCATTAATTTATAATGTACATAGAATGACGATTTATCTAACTTCAACTTCAAAAATATCAAGATAACAATCAATAGTTTTATTGACTTAATGTTGTGATGAATAAAATATAGTTTCATTGAACAATTGTCTCATTAAATTCAAGTTAATTTTAATTTCAATCAAAATTATTCCAATGAATCTATTAAACTCTTATAAATAATTCTTCAATTTATGTCATTTTTGTCAAGTCTCAAAAAGTCCTATCTATTCATCATAAGTTTAGGACAACTTAATAATGTATTACCATGGTAGAAATGCTGGTCCTGCAAAGTGTTGATCGATTTCATTTCTTGTTAGATTTAATTCAAAATATACCCTCTCCCAAATTGCTTCTTGAGCATGAAAAGCCAAAGCGAGATTAATTCCATTCAAGGCCATCCAATCAATGTTTTTCTCCCATTGATCCCAGTTCCACCAAGTAGAACTATATCCAGCTGTACAAACATTTTGATAATATCGAAACCTGTGTTAATTATATTAATTGAGAAATAACTATTTTTAACTGCTGTGATTGTAATCGAATTTTTATACCTATCGTTAGAGGTAACAGTTTCATTTACATCAGGCAATATGTCCAATGAGCTAATCTGTTTGCCTTCCCATGATATATGAGAATTGCAATAAGTTTTCAAATAATAATGAAAACCCCAAGCTACTGCAACGCCAGTTGTTCCTGTTATCTTAACTCTGTCTTTAGAAAGTTTGATAATCTAAAACAACAAAATACCATTAAATATAAATATAGTCTAACCTTCAACTATGAGTATGTGGCTTGTCAGTTTATACATCTATTTTTGATAGATAAAAGTGTCATTATATAATATTGAAGTAATTAAATTTTAATATTATTGGAAGAAATGATATGAAAACGAGTTTTTGCAATTCGAATTCTTGACAAATCGCAAAATATTACCTTGAAAGTATCTTTTCCATCGGGGCCTATTGTTGGATCAACTGAAACTTGGAACCGATTTGATTTAGTTTCAATAATTCTCTGAATTAATTTTTGAGCTGCTTCAGTTTGCTCTTCAGCAGAAGCTGTTGATTTCAAGTGCCCCAAAGTATCTTGAAAATCTATGATTAATTTTTTATTAAGTACTTCGCTTTGTATGGTAATAAAGTTTATTATTAACTATCGTATTAAAAAAAATTATATTGAAGATACATGATTTCTCAAAGAAGAATTTATTGAAGTATAATGATGTTTTTAAAATCCAAAAATAAATTATAGAAATTAAATAAGATTAAAGAATGGCAACTTACAGTCAGCATTTTTTTTATGAGCTAGAGTGATCCAATAAAAATTAAATAAAAGTATCAAAGAGAAGACAATTTTAAAGTAATTGGTCATAGTTATTCTTTTTGAAGCAAACTACCCACTAATACTTTCGTTAACTGAGCTGTGAATCATGACAAGACTCTTGTAAATGCTCATATCTCAATGCCCCCTCTTTTCATCTCTATATTACAATATAATATATATTATCGTATGCATTGCCTTCCTGAGGCTCCAATTTATCTGTCCGTTTTTACATAGTTTATCGTTCATAAAACTCTTGGAATTTGAATACTATTCAATATCTTTATATTTCTGTTTATTTACGTGATTTGGTAATCAACAATTAAAAACGATAACAATGTATATTTATTAGTTTGTAACAAATATGCATACTTATCAGAAAAATTTTTAAGTATAAGTAAAATAAAATTTTTTTTCAATACCTGGTAAATATTTTTTAATCTATTCATATTTAACATAGAAAATCACAATTGTGTTGTACGAATAGTTTGTGGTACATGGACAAAAACATCATCGTTAACTTTGACATGTCCACTGACGTAAAGACCACAATAAATCCCCATAATTGGGGCGGTACCATCAACTTTTATTTTTTCTTTGTCGATTTGTTCACGAAATGTTTTTAATGTCTTAGTAGGTTCTTCTTTATCGATTTTCCCAGTGTCAGGGTCTACTCGAATCATTGAACATCTGTAATGAAAAAAATTGTGTTTTAAATATAGATGGCATCAAATATGACTGTGTCTAACTATTAATTGTTTGTATTAGTTATTTTTAATATTAATTATAAAAAAAAATTGTAAATTTATGATTTTGAAATCAATTTGAAAAAATCACTGATATTTAAAAATTATTAATTAATTTTGATAATAAGAAAAAATAATTTATTTTGAAATACCTTGGACAAGGTTTTATGTTTCTAATTACAGCACTTTCACCAATTTTAATCCACTCCCAGTTATCTTCAGCAAAACTTTCCGAGCCTGACACTACAATGTTTGGTCTTAATTGAAGAGAAGAAACAGGATTTTCCAGTTTTCTATTCAATTCCTCTAAAGAGGATTCGGTTAAAAGCATGTAGCTCGATAGATCAGAAAACAATCCCTGAAATTAATACTAGAAATATTTTTTCTGCCTCAATTTACTATTTTACTGAGCAGTACTAAATACTGAGTCAACTAGACGTAAACACATAAATTAATTTGAAAAATGACTTCATTAAAAATGTAATTTTTTAATTTGCCTTACCACGTCATCATTTGTTATTTTATCGTAAACTTTAGTAAATTTTTCCCACGGTCCTTTAAGTATATTTCTTTGATCTAGAGAAGACAAACCAACTCTTAAACCAGAGTTTGTTCCAGTGAGAAATCTAACACACATAGATCATTGATGAATAATGGATTATAACGAAACAAGTGAATTTGTGTGTTTTCTAATTTAACAATACAATTTCAATAACAATAACTTATCTATAATGCTAGAGAGCAAAGTAGATTGTTTTCATTGTTGAAAATTTTGAAAGAAGTTTTAAAATATTCGTTAAACTTACTCAGATATCCATTTAGCAGATTCATCTCCACAATCGATACATTTTACTTTTTCATTCCACCACATAGAACAAGTTACATAGTTCTTTGTAGCTGACTGCTCTGGGATATCAAAAATTAATGTCGACATTCCCACTGCTTCTAGCTTTACTTTAGATTCATTAACAGCAGAAAGACTAACTAGAATCAATGTAGGATAGACTCTACTAGTTATAAATTTACCAGTCTCTTCATTGTAGATCAAAAACATTCTGCATAATTTAAATATTTCTTTAAATACTAACTTATAACTTACAAAAAGAATAACATAAATTTAGTTTTATTATTTAAAGTGCTCTTTACCTGTCTTTGAGAGTAAGAACTCCTTTATTATTAACTGCAATGCCACATTCTGTAAACAGACATTCAGAAAGTTCTTTCCCGCGGCCTGATTTGAGCGGATAAAAATATAGTTCTTTTACTTTTCCAACTTTTTTCCACCGTGGATAGGGCAATTCTAGTATTTGATTTGATGTCACTATTCGCTTTGGTTGTGTTGGAAAAGTTTTATTATTTTTCTTATCTGGATTTTTTTTATTCTTTTTTGGCTTTTTTATGTGATTCAAAAATATTAAAACAACTCCCATTGTCACTCCACAACTAATTACGACTCCAAATCGCCAAGTCTAATGAAAAAATATAAAAAATAACACATTTTCATTCCTTTCATTTCTAATAGTTGGTTTCAATTAATTAAAAAATGATTTAAAACAAAAAAAACAACTTGTAAGTTACAATTTCAATAATACTCACCAAAAAGTTCTTCATAACTTTGTTAAATGCAAAGCAATTTTTCATACAACGAAAACTAGCAAGTCTTGCTCTATTCACTAACCCAGTCCACTTGTGTCTAACAATATACTGTAGTACTACATATTCATTCAAGTTTCGTTATATTTTTGAATAGCTCACGTTTAAGTTATTCTTGTCAATATAATTTCTTCTCTAGTAGTAGCTGTGTTCTAAACCCATCTTATTAAAACGTGACCTCCATTTTAGCAATCAATTGCATTACCTGAACCTTCACCGGCTTCTTACAGCATATGTTTGTCACTAAATTTTTTTTCTTTCTCACCTTCCCAACCAAAGTTATCTAGCAATAATTATCAGAATTTACGATGATACTATAATTTTTACACATTATTATCATGTTTATATTTATACAAGTAGTGCGACACAGACTTTTCTCTCGGATAGTTATCAACATGATATTATCAATTAATAATCATATATAAATAGTAATTCTAACAACATGTATAGTTTGAAATATTTTTTTAATCACACAAAATTATTGTTATTACATTGTTGAAGTTTTGTCAATTAAGAATTCAAATTCATCATAACACAAAGTGCATAAAATCGATAAAATGATTATAATATCGATGAAAAGTTGAGTGAGAAGCACGCAATAGAATAAGAATGACAAGTCATTGTACTGGTATATAAGAGAATAAAATGACATTGAAAAAACCCATAACCCATAACCCATTGAACACACGTAAAAGTTAAATAAAATTGCTGAAAATTCATCATAGCATAGAGTGCATAAAATCGATAAAATGATAATAATATCGATGAAAAGTTGAGTGAGAAGCACACAATAGAATAAGAATGACAAGTCATCACACCGTTATATAAGAGAATAAAATGACATTGAAAAAACCCATAACCCATAACCCATTGAACACACGTAAAAGTTAAATAAAATTGCTGAAAATTCAGCATAGCACAGAGTGCGTAAAATCGATAAAATGATAATAATATCGATGAAAAATTAAGTATAAAGCACACAATAGAATAAGAATGACAAGTCATCACACCGTTATATAAGAGAATAAAATGACATTGAAAAAACCCATAACCCATAACCCATTGAACACACGCAAAAATTGATTAAAATCGTTGAAAACTCATTATAATAAATTAGTCATCATAGTCGATAAATGGCAGTTGGCCTAAATTGGTTAGATAATAATCGGGCATAGCTTCACAACCATTTCCGCACGAATGTAGCAGATCTTCTTCGAAACCGATCCATAATTTAATGAAGCCACAGAGTTCAGCAAATTTCATATCAGTTTCCAGTCTAGAACACAAATAGTTTGGATATTATTTATTTATTATTGATCCTGAGTATAAGCAGTATTTCGAAGTATTATAATCAAATGATTCTTACGAATTTCCTATTAATAAAACTCGACTCGGATCAGTAATGTTATGATGAATGAAAATGAATTCTTTTAAAATTGAACCAGATCTAGCGTAGGATAGTGGCTTTCTTCTCGTGTAATCAATGATAATATCTTGAAAATATCCAGGGCCTTAAGAAAGGATAGAAATATATTTGAAAATATTCAAAGTGACCTTGTGTTGTTTATTATATATGTAAAGTTACCCATGATTATTTGTGAATCAGATATTGCCAGCTTTTTATTCGATGGACCAGCCAAAAACAAAACATTTTCATCTCGCAGATAAGCTTCAGCTAAAAGCATTTTCATCAGGTTCATGTTGAAATCAAAATCTAGAATTACCGCTTTGATATCTTTATCAACTTTAGTCAAATTCTCGAGTAAGTCAAAGTTTTCTTCAAGACACGATGGCTGAAAAATAAATATAAGATGTTTATATACTATTAAACTTGTTTTTAAGTTATTCATTATATTATCAACTTACTCCAGTCGCAATGTTTATTCCGCTTCTCATTAAATAGTCTTTAAAAAATGATGTAGCAAATGTCAAAACCTTTCCTTCAAATTTTGTGTGTTCTAGATACCAGCTTACTGTGTTATAAGGAGTAATAAATTGATTCTAAAAATGCATTTATAGAATATGAGGAATAATGTCATTCATTGATTATAATATTTGAGCTTTATATAAATAAATACTCACCACGTTTGCATAATATTTCAGCGGATCCAAATGTTGAATGTAATACTTGATAGGATGAATACTATTGCTGCTAATAAATAATATATCCTTGTCGAGAGCTTGAAATTTTTTCAGAGTATCTGTAGCACTGACAATAGAACAATGACGGTGCCATAAGAGTTCTAAAAAATTAATAATTAATTATCTTTAGAATACTTATATATTCAAATGAATAATTTGAAGATGAAATAAATAGTTATTTCCTAGCTTCAGTCATTTACTTACCATTAATATCAATGATGACGGTATCGAAAGAATTAAAGAATTTTTTGAGCTGTACATAGTTAAAATTATGAACAGCTCTTGGTGGCGTCACATTCCATCTTAAAATGATAAGTTACTAATTAACACTTCGATAAAAACAGTTGTAATATGAAGGAAAATTATCAAATTGAAAAGAAGAAAGAATTACTGTAAAGATATATTATTTAAAGCGGAGTCTGCGAAGATGAGGGCGGCGTTCACGTACGTCCGTGATGCAAGCAATGTATACACAAACCAATACAATGATGAGGAGATACATGTTTTTATCATGCTAATCCTGCATGCACAATGTAGAAAATTCGATAGAAACGTTAAAATAAATTAATATTGAGTAAAATGTGTGAAGTTACTACAAGGCGAGAGAAAGCCGACTAACGAATTTCAAGATTCGCATCAATTTTCGATAATCATCATTGAAAGTATTATTTATATTACTTATAATAATCAATGTAAACAGCTTAAGCTGATCAATTATGTGAATTAGAATAATAAAGGTATATAACAAGATGACATGGACTTTCGTTTGTCGAAATGTAAACAAAAACAATTTTATTTCTACGAAATCAAATCTTCCAGAAAATATGATAGTCTAATGAAAAACAAATTAAATATGTGTTGTAAATCATACTCGAATTCATTTATTTATTTGTTTACCATATTGAGCTCTTAGCCTTCGGACTTTATATTTTATTGAAAATCTTTATCTACTTGTCTGTTAACAAAATCAACCTATTCCTTTTGAAGTTATCCTCAAGTACTTTCTAATCTGTAAAATTTCTACTGAAATCTCATTAAATATGTTAATTTACTTTTCAACTGACTATTAATTATTTGCATTCGTAGTTATTCGGTTATTTATTCATTATTTTTCAATAAAACAGTCAAACAATGTATTTATATTGAATCAATATATAAATTGTTTTATTCAGACGTGTTTACGGCTAACCAAGCTCGATTTTGGATTTTTATAATCCGGGAAACATGAGATTAAAAGAGGTACTTGATAGACTTGGAACAGGTTCTATCTACTGATTAGTCGAAAATACTCATTTTCAAATTCAAATAGACAAATCAGCGCGTGAGTCGAATAAACCCGAACACTTTCGAAGTAATGTTTGCCGCTGAGTGACCTCCTTACCAATCATGCTACCCGGATAATAAAAATCAAAAATTTAACTTTGACAGACAAAAATAAGTCGGACTCTAATACAACTTTCAGCCACGTAACGGCGCTCGTGCTGATAAACTTCACGAAATCAATAATTGTAAAGTAGCAAAACAAAACAGTTTTAATGAGTATGTAATTTTTTTATTATTTTTCATTTATATACTTCTATAATTCTTAATAATGAGTTTATAATCATTAAGAACTAATTAGTTAAATTTAAAACACTGGAACCAGAGGCATTTTACTCAGGTCAGGTAAATAATAATCAGGCACGAATTCGCAACTGTGCCTAAATCTCGATACATCCGAACCATCAACACCAGAACCAACCCATAATTTTGAAAAGCCACACAAATCAGCAAATTTCATGTCAACGTTCAACCTGAAAAGTTTTTTAAATTGAGATATATACTATCAAATATGCATCTTTACTTCTATTCATAAACCAAGTTCTGCTTTTTTTCTATTCATTCTCTAATACTTACGAATCTCCAATGAACAATACTCTTTTAGGATCAGTCTCAATTGTTTCCGCATAGCGATCAAAAATAAAATCTTTTAAAATGGATCCAGGTTTTCCAAATAATAAAGGTTTTCTACCGGTAAAGTTAACCAGGATCTCTTGAAAGTAACCTCCACCTAAAAAAGTTAAATAAATTTTAAGATAAATACAGAATATTTTTAGCTATAATGTATTCTTTATTGTACCAATAATTATGTGTGACTTAGAAGCCGGAAATTTCTTATCAGATGCTCCAACTAAAAATAAAACGTCTTTATTCTCAAGATAAATCCCAGCTTGAATGATTTTAGCCCAGTTGACATTGAAATCAAACTCAACTATAACAGCTTCAATATCTTTATCGATTTTCGTTAGATTCTCTAGAAGACGTATATCTTCTTCGACAGAAGGTGGCTGAAGTTAAAAAAATATTAATGATTCACATTATCAAATACAGTCATATTTATCAAAATATATTGTAATATTTACACCAGTCACAATATCAATGTCAGCATTGATTAGCTTATCTTTGAAACATACACTGCCGATAACTAGAGCTTTTCCTGTAAACCCAATACTTTGAAGATACCAAATAAGTGTATCTGAAGGTAAGACAATTTCGTCCTAAAGACATTTATTATGTAAATAAAAATAAGCAATACATATAATAAGCAACATTAAATTTTTTACCGGAGTGATAGTATATCCCATTTCTTGAAGAATTCTGATATAATGTCGGACTGGAAAAATACTGTTGTTGGTAACCAAGAGAATCTGTTTATTGTTATTCTTCAATTCTTTCAAAATTTCAACTACTCCTGGGATAAGTGCCATACCTTGCCATAAAACTCCTAAAAAGGGAAAAGAGTTATTGAAATATTTTTCGAATGAAATTATTCTAATTAAATAGTCTATTGTTTTACCATCAATATCAGTTATTACAGTATCGAAAGATGCAAAAAAAGCTGCGAGTTCTGGGTTTGTAAGTTTTTGAAGATCTTTTGGTTGATTCATATTACATCTCAAAAAAATAACAAAAGTACTAAAAATTATCAATACAGCTGAGTGTACCAAAAATTTAATAGGTGATGTAATTATAATTTTGGTTGACAAATACTTACGAATTAGTAACATTTGTTTCTGTTGTTAATGGCGGGATTTGAAAACAACTAGTTGTTAGACTCAGAAGAAATACACTTATTATAAGTAAGTGGATAAAACTAATTATTGAACACTGTTGTGATTTAAAATTCATTTTTTATTTTTTCCAATTATTGATAGTATTAAACAGAGACTCACTATGTTTGGTTTACAAATCCACAATACATGCAAGCTAGATACTGATTGCACTTCAAATAATGAGCTTTCCAGCTAATAAACATTTTCTCCTCCTCTGAGAAGATATCATATTTATTTTTAGACAATGGATAGCATTTTCAATAAAAACTAGATTAAATTTACATAAATAATTGTATTACTTAGATATATTTAATAATAAAACATTTTTTCAATTCACGCCCATTGAGATTAGAGTAGATCTGCTGAAATGACTCAATCCTTTAGAATATAAAAAATTTATAGGTAATTAACAATGTGAAGTCAAATGATTATAGCATCATTACTTATTATCATTACTCATTTGACTCAATTAGTAACAATTTTGAGAATTATAATTTTTATATCTCTTTATTATGCAATAAAATCATAATGAATTTATCTTGATAATGCTTTATATCTTTTAAAATTAATTCAAAAGTTTTTGATTCTACATTATATTTTATTGTTAGTTAATAATTATTATCTGCAACCAATGAAACGCATCTTACTTATATCAGAAAGATAGTAATCAGGATTCGTCATACAATTATTGACTAATTTGGAGACAGTTGATTCATTTGCATCTGGATTCAGCCATAATTTTTGGAAACCACACATATAAGCATATTTTATGTCGACATCAATACTAGAATATATTCAAAATTGTGCTAATAATTCTAAAAGCCAAATAGATAAACCTGTCGTTTTTAAAATGTAATACTCACGAATTTCCAATAAACAATACTCTACTGGGATTAGAAGCAATAGCTGGATAGCGATCCATAATATAGTCTCTCATTAGACCACCAGGTTTACCATAATGTAAAGGGATTCTTCCAGAATAATTAATCAAAACATCTTCAAAGTAACCAGGACCTGACAAAACATAAAAACTCAAGATATATCAAAAGCATGGCATGAAATTTAAATAATAAAATTTTGTAATAATAATATTACCTATGACTTTATGAAATTTGTTGACATAAATTTGTTTTTGAGCTGTTCCAGCCAAAAATTGAACATTTTCATTTTTAAGATAGAGTCCAGCTTGAGCTATTTGACCTAAATTCACAGTAGTATCTAAATCTACTATCACTGTATTAACTCTTCTGTCAATAGCCATTGGGTTACAATGGTTATTATTATGTACGTTAGCGTATTTTGGCTAGAATTTTTAAATATAAAGTTTTCCAACTAAATATCTATAATTAATGTAAGTAACATACAACTATAAATGATTTTACATGAAATTTTAAACACTTACAGCAGATACAACGTCAACACCAGCATCTTTCAGTGTTTGAATGAATTTGTCAGAACCAACGACGAAAGCTTTTCCTTTCATTTGGAATTTTTTAAGATACCAAAGAAGAGATTCATGTGGTAATATAAATTGGCCCTACATAGAAGAAGAAGATAAAATAAAGTATAATTGATATAAAATTGTATACACTAAAGATGAAAAAAAAATATAGTCATCGCATTTACTTCATTTGCGGGATAATTAAACTTTGAAGATAATGAGTTCAAGTAATTTTGAATTGGAAATCTTATTTTATCTACTAGAAAAATATTTTGCTTTTTACATTTTTCCAAGTTTTTCAGAATTTCCGTTGCTACAATTGGTGAAGAACTTAGCCTCAAAATAGCTAAAAAATGATTGAAATAAAAGAATTATCCTTAATAGTTCACTATGCCATGAGAAAAATAAAGAGTAATTGATGATATTATTTTACCAAAAATATCTGTGATCACAGTATCAAAGGATTGAAAAAAATCACTTAGCTCTCTACTATTGAGGCTCTGAAGATTTCTCGCTGGCTTTTGATTACATCTTAACAAATAAAAAACAAAAGTTATTTAATTAAAAAACAATAACAATAATACTTACAAAGAGCTGTACAAAAGTGGGCTCGATGAATTTTGTATCAAACCACTGCTAGTACTTAAAAAAAATGCAATCAAACAGAAACTACAAGATGTAAAGATATTTTGAAAGACGGAAATCATTTTGGTCTACAATACAATTTTTAATACAATGTTGATAACGTAACGTAGTAATTGTAACTGATAACTGTGAACAAAAAATCAAGCGACATGCTTTTATATGTTAAAACTGTGCTTCTTCCCACCATTGCGGATGTTTTTTGCTTTTTCAAGTTGAATTAATTTATAATACTAAATATACATTAAGATAATAAAATTAATTTTTTTATTCTAGACTAAAATTTTTTATCATTAGATTTAAATCATTAAGTATTCTTTATTCGTAATAAAAAAAAAACATTATTTTATATAATATAAACTTATTATACATTGATTTGAATAGTATTAGTTCTATGATATATTACATTCAGAGTTACAGTCCAATAACAATAATATATGGTTAGATTAACGTATGAAATCTATTTGAACAACTAAATGTTAAGAATTAAAAAAAAATGAAGCAATATTTGAACAATTGAAAAATTTGATATATTTGAAATTGATAGAAATACTTAAAAGGAATAGAAATATAAATGTAATATTTCTTTATTGATTATTATTTTTTTAAACCATACAAATCTATCGATGACTAAACTATGTAACATATGACGTGTGTCCAATAAAAGAACCATTTTTTATCAAGTTCCGTTTACATTTTATTCAAATTGAATTACCAAAGTAAAGATGATCCAATTGACAAAAAAAATTCTTATTGAATAGCATCATATGATGGAAAATCCATTTATTACTGATTATAATTTCTCGAATTTTCGATAAATGTTTAAAATAATTTTACCCTGAAAAAAATATAAATTAGTATTGTTTATAAAAATATACTAAATTGAGGAAGTTCATTTTTAAGGTAATTCCTAACATTTCATTCAAATCGTCAATAAAATAATCAGCTATAGGCAGACTATCTTTCATACACTTTCCAGATTTTGATAGATACATCCCTGGTCCAATTAGTAATTTTTTAAAACTATACATATCGGCAAATTTCATGTCAACATCAATTCTAAACAATAACAAAAGTGATTTTTCACATTAGATATCGTAAAATATTCAAAGATGATAAATTTTTCACATAAAGGTAATTCATACGAATCTCCAATGAAGAGCACTCTAGAAGAATCGGATACAGAGAAACGTTCAAGAATATAGTCGCCAAAAATTTTTCCAGGTTTGCCGAATAATAAAGGTTTTCTTTTGGAATATCTCATTAAAATGTCTAGGAAATAACTAGAACCTATAATCGAATAAATTAATCAGTAAATAATTTTTCAAAAACAATCAAGTAAAATTTTATTAAGTAAAAGAGATATCCTTTCTTAACATTACCCATGGATCGGTCATCTCTTAATGCAGGAAGTTGCATTTCGGATGCTCCAGCTAAGAAAGCAACTCTGTCGTTTTTAAGATAAACTCCAGCCATGTTCAATTTTAACCAATTTACATGAGCATCAAAGTCAACTATCACTATTTTAACTTCTTTGTCTATATCGAATAAATGAGATGTGTTATACACGTTTCCTTCAATCGATTTCTAAATATTAAGGTAAAATCAATTGGTATATATTAAAGAATTTTATTCTCATAAAAACATAAGTATTAATCACTTACACCAATTACTATATTGAGACCGCTTTTTTTCAGACTTTGTACAAATAAATCACAACCAATAACATAAGCTTTATCTGTAAAATTGATTCTCTTAAGATACCAAATGAGTGCGTCTGAAGGAACAACTATTTCATCCTGAAATCAGAAATAATTGATTATTGTTTAATTTCACTGAAATTATGTACAAATATTAATTGATACCTACAGATGTTGCGTTATATCCGAAATAAATCAGAAACGAACTATAATCCTCTGAAGAAAAATAACTATTGCTGGTAATTAAAATATTTCGCTTACCAAGTTCCTTAAGCTTTTGTAAAACAATAAAAACATCAATAGGCTCTGATTTATACTGTCTTATGACTCCTAGTAGAAAACATGTCTTCATAAACATGACAATACATTAAAAATGGATGTCAAGTTATTACTAATAAATATAGGTCAATAAATATTTACCGTCAATGTCAGTTATGACAATATCGAAAGAATTCAAGAAATTTTTAAAATCGGAATTTGTAAGTTCAGTGAGATTAATTGCATGATGTTTGGTGTACCTAAATGGAGCATAGATGATTATATGATTAAATATCTACTATTCTGTAAATTGGTTCTATTCGAATGTTCGTTAAGAAAATAATTAATTTTTCAACAACACATTTTGGGCGAAACAATAGATATTAATGGCTAACCTCGAATCTATCATTGGACAAGTGCTAATTAAACAAATAATAAGTATATGGAAGAAAGAATAAAAATTGCAATCCATTGTTCAAGATACAGCTGATAACTAACAATTGAAACAAACTTATGAAATGGAAAAATATGCACAGCGTGTTACTTTTTCTAGTGAACTCAATTATAAATCGAAATACTCTGGTTTTTGATATGAGGTTTTTATATACAAAGACTACCTCCCCTTTATATTTTATACGACGATTTTTATAGTTTTATTATTTATTATATTTGCTTTAGTGTTATATCATCTTTAACTACATTAATTTAATAAATTATCTAAGGCCTTAATATGGTCAATTTTTTCAGACAATATTTGTCAGAAAACAACTTATTATTGATGATTATTTCATCATATAATGCATTCATGACAAGAAAATAATTAACTTAATTAAAAATATTCATTATCAGAATTAGAGTGCAATGTATAAATAAATCTGTATTCAGTAGTTTCGTGAAGTTTATCAGCACGAGCGCCGTTACGTGGCTGAAAGTTGTATTAGAGTCCGACTTATTTTTGTCTGTCAAAGTTAAATTTTTGATTTTTATTATCCGGGTAGCATGATTGGTAAGGAGGTCACTCAGCGGCAAACATTACTTCGAAAGTGTTCGGGTTTATTCGACTCACGCGCTGATTTGTCTATTTGAATTTGAAAATGAGTATTTTCGACTAATCAGTAGATAGAACCTGTTCCAAGTCTATCAAGTACCTCTTTTAATCTCATGTTTCCCGGATTATAAAAATCCAAAATCGAGCTTGGTTAGCCGTAAACACGTCTGAATAAAACAATTTATATATTGATTCAATATAAATACATTGTTTGACTGTTTTATTGAAAAATAATGAATAAATAACCGAATAACTACGAATGCAAATAATTAATAGTCAGTTGAAAAGTAAATTAACATATTTAATGAGATTTCAGTAGAAATTTTACAGATTAGAAAGTACTTGAGGATAACTTCAAAAGGAATAGGTTGATTTTGTTAACAGACAAGTAGATAAAGATTTTCAATAAAATATAAAGTCCGAAGGCTAAGAGCTCAATATGGTAAACAAATAAATAAATGAATTCGAGTATGATTTACAACACATATTTAATTTGTTTTTCATTAGACTATCATATTTTCTGGAAGATTTGATTTCGTAGAAATAAAATTGTTTTTGTTTACATTTCGACAAACGAAAGTCCATGTCATCTTGTTATATACCTTTATTATTCTAATTCACATAATTGATCAGCTTAAGCTGTTTACATTGATTATTATAAGTAATATAAATAATACTTTCAATGATGATTATCGAAAATTGATGCGAATCTTGAAATTCGTTAGTTGGCGTTCTTTCGCTCTATGATTATCATAATTTTGCACATTTTGGAAAAATTTACTTTACTTTAATAAAATGTGCCAAATCATAATTATAATAGAGCGAAAAAAAGCTAACTCACGAATTTCAAGATTTACATCAATTTTCGATAATTATCATCAAAAGTATTATTTATATTATTGATTCATCGATTAACAAATATTAGGGGAAGGGAGGGTAAAATGGAATGTTCGAGAAAATGTATTGAACTGTTGAAAAAAATTTAAAAACACTTATGTATTACGTTATTTGTTTACTAATTATTCAATTTATTAATTCATTAAAAACTATTAACATTTTTAATACATTGGTCAATCTGTTGATTTTTGTTCTTTCTGGGTGTTTCACTTTATTCCACCTTCTGCTAATTAATATCAATTTATTTCAATGTTTAACACCAAGGCAATCCAGTCCAATGATCGACTTTATAATACGTTTGTTCTAAATCAATTTCTTTCTTAACTTTCCAGTCTCCTATTAATAGAGGTTTGTATTTATGCTTTATAGTGAAATTCCGATTCCCAGAAGCGCTGCAAAATTTACAAATTATTATGTCAAATTATAACTGCCCTAATTTTTTTAGTTGTTTTTTTTTCGTAAATGTTTACATATTCTTAAAAATTTATCCAATACTTACTCAGTTGTAATTGTTAATACTTTATTATTTAAATGATTTTCTTCAACAAGAAAATCTCCAAAGACACCGTCTAATTGGTCGATATATAATTTGGTTCTCTTGGTATCCGCTATCAATTTTTTAATCCAAACTGAAAAAACGAACAGGAAAGAAGATCAGTAAGTACGAAGTATTTGTGATTTATTTTCTTTCATATTACCTTTATAATAATTGGCTAGAAAGATTGTTTTTGGATGTGTTAAGAATAATTTAACCTCCGGATTGCTCAAGTAACGAATAGCTTGGCTCATTTTATAAAGATTTATATTAAGATCAAATGCAATAATTACAGCTTTAACTTTATTATTAAGCGTCGCGTTGTAACCAGTATAATAGTCACTGTATGATACCTTGTCCGGCTGAAATTTACATAGTAATATGAAAAGTATATTCTTTTTTGTACCTTATAATTCATACTTACACTAGAAATAGTTTCAATACCCAGACTTTTTACAAAATCAATAAAATCATCATCTCCAATAACATATGCTTTTCCACTGAAATCAATTTTGTTTAGATGCCAGACGAGTGCATCCACAGGAGTAACGATTTTTAACTAAAAATTGAAATAAAATATTTCTTATCTCATTTTTATTTAAACTAACCTAAATGTATTTCATGTATATATTTACATGCTTAGTGTAATCAAATTCTTGTAATTTTTCAGCTAGTGCATTAGTATATAGTGTATCAACATCCATAATCGTCTTATAAAGAATCAATTTTTTATCGGCACGATCCCATTTCTTTAAAATTTCAACATCACTCTCAGTTATTTTCGATACATCCTTAAAAATGACTAAAAAATAAAAATGTTAATGACATTAATATTACAATAAAATTATATCATATTGTATCAGATAGTCTATTTCATTTTTTACCATCAACATCTGCTACAACATAATCAAAAGATTTGCAAAAATTTTTGGTCGCCTCATGATTAAATTTCTCTATATTTATTAATGTATACGCTCTGAAAAAATTGATTAGTTTATGTACCTTTCTCCATTCTTTCATTGACGGAAAATTGAAAAATTACTTACTTATCTTTCCCAGTATCTGCTGCATGTGCACCACAATCAACAGTTACGATAAAAACAACTATCATGAAGATACAAAAGTACATTGAATAATAATTTTTTAACATTTTTGAAAAGTAAATCGCATCAATTTCTAAATTAATAAAAATTTTGACATATATGATTCTCTGGCATACACTGTCTAATAATGAAAGAGTTCTTCTTTTTAATTGTCTATTATATGCCTATGATTTAGATTTCTTTTATCATTTTGGATGATTATTTTTGAGCTTTACACCTGATAATTTTCTTTCTTAACTTTTTCGTCTTTCCACGTACTTTTATCTATTTATTATACTTCTAAGTCTGAACAAATAATAGAAAATATAAGTAGAAACGTAATTCAGTTTTAAGAAAATAATTAATTATAAATAAAAAAACAGATTTTTTTGACATTAGTTTTATCTCGTGACTATTATAAAACCATTTTTACTGCAAGTAATAAAACAAAACTTCATTTTACATTTATCAATTTTTTATAATAGTCGTAGAGTTTAATCTGAAATAAATATAATAAATTATACAAATGGAATCGTTTATTGAACTAAAATTATGAAATTATTTTTGTCATTGAATATAAAAAATAATACAACAATAAATATTAATTTATTTTTCAATCGAATAAATTATTTACATGATTTGGTCCACTATCTATTGTTAAACTTAATTTTTTGATTATTGATACTCAATTATGTCATACAATTTTTTCAGATCTGTCAAAATATTTTTATAATACTTTGATTCCAAAACTATTTAATTACAGTAGCTTAATAACTCATTCATACAATAATTTTTCAACACTTATTAGATTATGATACTAATCTAAGATTTAGAAAAATTGTTATCTTGGGCTTCGCAATCAATTAAACGTTGCACTAGAGGTAGCAGCATCCCTAAGTTAGGTAAATAGTAATCAGGTATTACTTCACAATCATTAATTGATTCTAAATTATCAGCACCTGAACTAACCCAAAATTTTTGAAAACCACAGAGTTCAGCAAATTTCATATCTGCTACCAATCTGAAATTAACAAGTTACAAATTAATTTAAATTTATAGCCGAATACATATTACAACATAAAAATATCAGTGCTCTGCAGTGGTCTGGGTGCGACCCGAAAGGTCCACACGACCAACTTCCCAGTGGAAAAAATGAAAAAACAATTCGAATAGAACCCGTTTCCATCCTCTATAACAAATGGAATTATTATAAACGAAATGAGTCTGTTTTTATTCATTTGATATGGTTAGTTACTTTATTTCAGTAAAATAAAAAATTGTGCGTTAAAAGTACTCATATATGTTCAATTGTTATGAACACAATTCCATATTATTGACAATTATTATTGACTATTATAGCGTCTTTAATGCTGTTTTCTCAATCCTGACACGAGTTTAAAATTCTTTCATTTCTGATTTTGTTTTTTAAAATTTTTTTTTTCGATTAAATATTGTCACCATATTTTCATACAAGTATTCTAATCATTTAATATTCATATTTTTTTAAAGATTTCGAAATTTTGTCTAAAAAATGATATAATTTATAAATTGAGAAATTCAGGTCATTTTCCATTTTTGCTAGTTTTTTGGCTCTGCAAAAAAAATGGCTGGACCGATTCTGCTGAAAATCTAATCAGTTCTAAGTTACATAATTACACGTCGAATGCAATTGGTCCCACATCGATATCAATTATTGATCTCGAGATAATCGAGGCGAAAAATAATTCCGAACGCACATACGCACACACGCACATACGCACACACGCACATACGTACATACACACACACAGACGTCCACTGGAAAACGATCGTATTCGACTCTGGGGACCTTAAAACGTGGAGATATGTCAAAATTCGGGATTCGCAAAATCGGACCCATTACTATAACTTCCCACTGGGAAGTTAATAAATCATGAGTGACTACAATTACTTACGAATCACCAACAAAGATACACCTCTCAGGATTACTTATGGCATAACGTTTAATTAAAATTTTTTTTAATATTTCTGATGGTTTTGCAAACTCTATCGGTTGCCTTCCAGTGTAATTAATAAGAATATCTACAAAATTTCCTGGTCCTGTAAAAATTTAACAATTACATGTAATGATTCAATAAAATTCATAAGAATATATATGCTGTTCAGTTTGATAAGCTTCAATTAGAATTTTATAATTTTAGTATGATTCATTATCTGGTAAAGTTTTATTATTTTTAAAGAATTTTTATTATCTTAATTATCCATTAAGCTTATCATTACATCTAACATGTTTAATTACTCAAAAGTCATGAATTTAGAATTTACCTATAAGTGATATTGTCTTAGATATTGGAAGTCTTTTGTCTCTTGGGCCCGTGAAAAATAATACGTCATCTCTTTTGAGTAATGCAGCAACCTGAATCATTTTTACCCAGTTCAAGTTTATGTCAAAATCGAATATCACAGCTTTTATCTCTGGTTCTCTCCTCAAAGCATTGTGGATAACATCCATGTTTTCATCTACGTATTTTGGCTGTAAAAAAATCATAAAATTTATCATAATCTCCCAGTCTAATCTTTAATATTTAATATTAGATTTTATCTTTAATATCAAATCATCAAAATTATTATTATCTTACTCCAAGTACAATATCTATACCAGCATCACTTAAAGCTTGAATGAAAGCTTTGGATCCCACTACAAAAGCTTTTCCTTTAAATCCAATATGATGCAAATACCAAACTATTGCTTGACAAGGTAACATTATTTGGTCCTATAAACAGTAAAGATAGCTTTATTGAATCTACTTTATCAAATTTGAAATCGACATAATTGAAAATTCAAAGTATAAAAAAATTTTTTTTGTAAACAATTTAGCCAACCAATTTACATTCATTATCAATAATTATTCCATATTAAAATTTATCTATATTAAAGTTGTTATCTTAATTATTAAAAGCTCTAATATTCACTTCGATGGATGACACAGCATAAATGAATCAAAATAAAAACGTAATTTTGTCATTTGTAAATAAAAAATAATATTTAAAAAAAAAGTAACATTGAATTACCGGAGTTGCTTTATATCCTATTACTTGGAATTTTTGTAGATAATCTTCTATCGAACGTGTATTATTATTTGAAACAAATAATACTTTTTTACCAAAACGATCAAGTAATTTTAATGCTTCCAATGCTCCTTTAATTGGCACTTCACCAAGCCACAAAACACCTGAATGATAGTTTGTGCATTAAAATATTCAATCAATGTTGAATGAACTGTATAATCATTAAAAATTATTTATTGAATTTATTCTGTCTTACCATCACAATCAGTCATGATTGTATCAAACGAGTCCAAAAAAGTCTTGAATTCTTCTATTGTCAACTGACTAATATCTTTGGGTTTCATGACGAAAACGATGTTTTGTCATCAACGATCAAGCGTTGTATTGACTGTTAGCTACTTTAGTGGACTGAATGAAAACGTCAGAGACCTGACCTTAGACCATGCGTTGGGGAAAATATCAACTGTAAACTTGGGAAGACTTTTTATTTGTTTGCGCTCTGTTACATGGTTATTAATGTGACCTCTTCAACCACTCTAACCGTCAGAGATAGAAGCTAAAACTAATACATACCTACAAGAATATATCTTTTAATACATTGTGCATACAAAATCAGATGAGATATGCTAGCGAATATACCAACCTTTTCTATTACAAAATCACTGATGAATCATCAACTTGTTGAATAAATAAAATACTTGTAATATAATTTAATTCTTATTATCACGAAACTTTAATTACTTAATTCCAACTCTTATCATTTTAGTGATGATAAGAGATGGAAAGTTATTCAACTGTCTAATATAAAAAGATAATTAATTCATATAAAAAATATTTAAAATACTGATGATATATTTACCAAATTGAAGGAAAAAGTGGACAATCAAGTTATTTATCAGGTAATCAATACTTTACTGGTCATACGATTCGTATGGCACAATTTATATAAAACATGAGTGGCAAATTCTGACAATGAATAGCGATGGAAAGCAAAATAAAAAAAAGTCGCGCAAAGTGTTACTGATAAAAACTGATAATATTATCTATCAAGTGACATACTCATGAACAACCATTAAAGTGTTAATTGATATTCATTTGTGTTAATAGAATTCCAATTTATTAAGTTCCCTAGTTGTTATCAGTGTCTTGATTCTCATTTACAAAGATATTATATGGCTTCAGCAAAAATAATAATTATAATTATTTCATTATCATTATTATAATATAATAAAAACTAATAAAAATAATATTAATTAACGAATTACTAGTAATTAATTAATAAAGTTAATTATAATAATATTGATTATGATTCACAATAACTATATAAACAAGTATTTCTTTTTCACTCTTCTAATTACACATAATGAGTCTTATTATTAAAATGCCAAAATTACTTTGTAGTAGATGAAATATATAGCATTTTTTAGCCATATTCAATACTTTGGTGCTCTCATTTACACTTCATGACAAATTCCTTGCATTTTGAATTATCTTATTAATGATCAAATCGCAAGCCAGCCGAGTTGATGATATCGATAATTGTTAATTTAGTTTTTTTTCTTTATTTTTTCATGTTTATTCATTTTTCATTCTTATTTTTTAGTTTCTGACTAGAAATATTCCACCTCAACTTGACTTTCTTACTCTTACTCCTTTTACAAATATTACTGATAATTCGTAAGCTATTTATGGTAAATAATTTACACGTTACATATAGAAACATTCGATCGTACAACAACCGATGGAAAACGTATAGAAAGTCTTCCATTTAATGCACGAAAAAAATCGTCTTCTGTTTTAGTTTTATTTATTTCTTTTTTTGTTGTTGATCGTTTTCATCTTCTCTGTATCATTTTATTAATTATATTTTTTTATTCATTTCATCTTCTACTTAATAGTACCATTGTTTATTTTTTATATTATCATCATTATCTTTATCAATAACTTGAAGCTTAGATGAACTGCCAGGACACAGAGTACGTTTACATCATACATTTTCATTATTATTTTTTTTTACATAAATAAATATATTTCTTTATAATAATATAAATCATTTATTTATAGAATGATTGATTCAATCATTGTTTTTCGAAATTTATGCAATTTCGTATAATGTAGGATTTGATTATTTAAATTATCGTAAATATATATTTAATTTTGGATAAAAATACATTAAAGAATTGTATACAATTGAAAATAATTGGTAACAAATGATAGTAAATTTTATTTTTTTGACTTTTCAGTGACCCGGCATTTCTTCATGCCATTATTACATACCTACCTATCTACCTATCTACCCGCCTATCCTATTTCCCATTTGCCTATACGAATGAACGAAAAACAACGTGTTCGAGAAAAAAACCCGTTGTATATAGGCGATACATCTAATGTACATGTTAGATACTCGTCAACGATGATATTCATCAACGAATCTTTTGTGCCAAGTATAACTTATGAATTTATTTTTCAACAGGATGTTCACGATTTGTCATAGACTATTCGTAAACGTGAGAAAAGACACGTCCATATTTTTTCAGGACTTGTAGGTTAATTCATTCGATTGTATACCGTTAATAATTGTTTATAACCCGATATCGCGTTGTATTACGCTTATTTATAATATATGATAAACTAACGTACACAACTATATACATTAGAGCAACAGCAGTTTTCTTATTGAATATTTTTCGGCGCATTTGAAAAAATGAATTATTTTGTTTTTGATGCAATGCAAATATTTTTTTTAAAGTTTTTTTGGTATTTTTTGTAACTATGGATTATCGATTTTTCAATAATTTACTCAATTAATTGATTAATCATTTTATTCAATTCTTTTTGCGCTTCCATTATAGCATTTCTAAAATGTTTTTTCTTAATATCAGAATTCTTACACGTCCAGCGGTTTCAATAATATTTATTTCATTTATTTATCTGTTTTATTAATCAAGAAACAATTTTTACATTATTCTTATTTATTAATAATATTTTGCTGTTAATAAATGGGATCAATGCATAACGATTGGGAGATTTGAAATGTACTGCAACATTTTTTGTAAGGATGCGTATTTTTCTTATTGCATTTATAATAATATTCAAGCTAAGATATTTTAGCTATCTTCTTCGGCTTTAGACCTTCAAAATGTGTGTTAAAGAACGATTATTTTGTACAAAGTATTACAATATTTATGGAAATCTCAGAAACTCTCACACCTGGTTTTTTAAATTTTATTATTGAATTTGATGTACTTTGTTATTTATTATAAATCGATACTTTTTCATTGCTATTATTATTTTATCGTTGTTATCATTATTTATTTTAGGATTTTCTTTAACGTAGAAGAAGGAATATTCAATAATTGCTCCGTATACTTGAAAATTTATGATTTTAGTAAAATGAAAATTTTTATCTCTTCTTTCATACTAATTATTATTATTCGTTTAATTTGTAATTGATTTTTATTCATTTTCTAAATTATTAAATTCACTGTTCACTCTTTCATACGCATATTGTCTAGTTTAATTGCAGTAAGTCAAAATGAATATTTAATCTCCGATATTCTTAATAATTTAATTGTCAGTCGTGACAATAATGTATCGGTTCTCATTTTGTTAAATGAATGACTAGAAATATACCTCTAGAAGAAGACTTTAATCTCTATATTTGAATCGACGTGATAGATTAAAATCATTCAAGATCGACCCTGAGACCCTTTAAACAATGACTGACATTAACTACTCGCTGCTGTCTTTGCTTTTTCAATGTTTCTTTATTTCGTATAGTACTTTAATGACTCATCAAACTCGACGTTTTTTTCAATAATTTTTTTTCATTTTTATAAATTAGTTGATTATAAATCAAGCAGTATATTATCATTAAAAATTATTGCACATGTAACAAACGATTACTGATAATTGCATATTGCAAAAGATGTTTTACTTATTAGTTTTCATCTTAATTTAGAAATTTCATTCACTTAATTTTTTATTTTTCATTTTGCATAATCTACAATAAATTCCGAGCCACGCATTGCCATATAATACATAATTATTATTTTTTTTAAATTTTAATTTGATATCCCTATTCCTGGACAGCCACACTGCTCGTAAGTCCATACATTACTTTATATTCTCTTTACTTTTATTTACTTTTATTACTCTTTTTACTTTATTTTTTTTCTATACTCATATGTATTTCATTCATTAGTGCCTACTTATTTGTTAATTAAAGAGGAATGTAGTCGTAATTATCGCGATGGATTGAATAGGACCAATGCAATCAAGGAACCAATCGGAGAAGCTCGGCACGTTCATCGGCCGGCACAAAAATTTATAAATTTATCAATAATATCTCTCTTTTTTTATTATTTTTAATTTCTATAATCTCCATTTTTAAATAAATCACAACAAAATTATGAATTACAAAATTGTTGTTTCCTTTAATGAATAATTGATAATGATTCGTTAAGTTATTGATTTATTATTCTATTATTATATTTATTTATTCATTTGCTATGTGGTTTATTAAAATATGAGTATCAAAATCAACTTGCAAAAATTCAATCCAAATTACATTTGTCCTGTGCACCGCCGATGTAACGATCGTATTCCCTGTCAATGTTATAAGTAACTCTTCTGTTCTTAGTTGAGGTAATCAACGAAAAGATATTAAATTAAAGTATGTTATCATAATAATAATAATAATAATTGTAATAATAATAATAGTAATAATTGTAATCATAATAATAAGTACTGTACAAATGCACGTACTCTGATATTTAATGTAATTTTTTTTTATTTGTTATTAGAATTTCAACTTTCGTGTACGACAATGTGCTTGTGTTTATTGGTGAACTTTTGTAATTTTCCATTGTATCACGAAATATATTTCAAGATATTAACGCTTGATTATTAATCCAATAAAAAAGAATTATAAATAAGAAATTCATCATTAACATCATCAATTATCATCATCGTCATTATCAATATCATTGTGAGATTCATAAAAAAATGATCTTCCTTGTCATCGAAAAATCACCATTACTTTTCTCTTTATTTTCTCAAATTCTTCTTTCGTGCACATTAGTTGCAAGGCCGCTTGAAGTTGAGATGCAACACTTGATTCTTAATCCTTGGAATGCCTTAACTCGTGTCCTTGTTATCCATCTAACTCGTCGATACATCGACGCGACTATCAAGTGATTGTTCAAGTGGCGTCGTTACTTCCGACGAGTTGAGGGGATGCCAAATAATTGGATCTAACCATGTTATTTCGTTTTCCCATAGACAAAGAATTTTTTCTTGTATCTTTATTCGGGGATATCGCCACCAAGGTGCGGCTGCCAGTCTGGCTCCGACGAATCGACTGTGCCTTGGAGAAAGAGCTGAGTTTCCTCGCGATATTGTGTGGCTGCTCAAAGCCATTAATCTCGGGATCGCTGCGCTTTCGTGGGGGCAACGAAGTCTTTGCCAAATTCGGCGTTGATGATGATGTTTCTGAATACACAAGCTTATCAACTCGTGAATCCATTGTGGAATATTCATTGATGCTGTCTTCACTTGATTCTGACAGTGTACCAGCACTAAATGATGATCCAATCGTTGATACTGCTGCTTCCGGTGAAGCGAGATTTTCGCTCGAAGTGCTCGGATTGCTTGACATAGAAGCAAGATCAAACTTGCTAATAGCGGTTGTGCGCTGTTGCTGCTGCTGAACTCCAACATCACCAGCACAACCGTAATCGTAACTACAGCATAATTGACCGTCCTGTGAGGAATCAAATACATTATTAGCAAGTAAAAATATTCCATTAATCCGCGCTATTTTCTGCACTAAAGGAAATTTTTGTGATTTAATTGTTTTAATAAGTAAAATTAGTTGATTTAAAAATAAATAAAAATTGATTAAATTTAATAAAAAAAAAAAATTAACAAATAAATTGGTGAAAACATAAACTGACTAATTGATTGTTAAGAAAAAAATTAAAATTTCCTTTAAACAGAAAAATCGTGTAGATTAAATTGTAAGTATGTATTGACATATTATGTGATTCATTGTTTCGTTAAAAATAATTGGTGTTTTAATGGCATTTCGAAAGTAGAGAGTCATTTTGAGAGACAGACCTTCAAGAATTTTCCATGATCTGATGGTCCTGCTTCCGTTGACTCCTTTTGCATTATTCCATTGTGAAATTGTCTCATTAATTACGTTATTTTAATTAACAACTTTTCAAATAATAATGACATGCTCGGTATGGTAATAATTAACAATAAGAATAATAACGATAAAAATTGGGGAACAAAACAATGAATTCCCATAGTATGTTTTTAATTTTACTGTGAAAATCTAAACTATTACTACAATTTAGTGATAATTATCAGTTTAACAATATCAACAATTTATTTTTTTATCATTAACAATTACTTCTATGCAACATTTAATAATCTTTTAATATGAATTCAAATAAAATAAATAATAATTTTTCATGAATAATAAATATAATTAATATAATTTATTATTTTTATCAGTGATTAATAATTAAGTAAGTTAAGATTTAGCATAATATTTGAACTAGAAAATAGTATTCACTAACTAGGTTGAATAAATGCCGAGAAAAATAGTAAATTTTAATTAACAAATTTTTTCATAGTAAAAATAAATATTGTTTCAACTGATAATTATATCACCATAGGGATAAAGAGCCCTGGTGCTTCTATTGTATGTATGCAGAAGAGGTGTGTGCAAAACAGGCTCGAGTGTTTAAATAAACATCAATCGAAACAAATATATATGTATATATATATATATATATATATATAATTTATTAAAAAAACGGTGTGAATGTGCAAAAATCTTGAATATGTAGGTGTCTCCTCGTGCGTTATTGGACCCGGAGGTCATTGAAAAAAGTTATTAATAAAATAGTTAATCAACGTGCACGGTGAATCGTAAAGATTAAAATTACAACGATGTGATTGGAAACGTGCAAAATTACTGATAATTTTTACTATAATGATATTTGAATAATTATTTTGATCGTTATTGAACTCAGATTTATATATGAAGTGATTAAAAATAAAATAGATAAAAATGATAGACTATTTAAAATGAGACATATTGCAGGAGCAATAAGCAAGCAGACCGGCATAAAAATACTCGAGCTTGATTAGCATCTAGTAGAATTAGATAAATAGGCAGTTAGAAGAGATATAGGTGAGATAGAAGTGATGTGATTACCGATGCACACAACACGCGCTATTGCTCACCAATTGGGCGCAGTACGGCACCTGCAAGGATACCCATCGTTAGGCTAGTTAGTCGGTTAGTTTTCACGGGCAATATGGTCGGGTTAGCATGTTCAGGATTATTCATTCACGCGGAAGCATCCAACCGTTTTATTCGATTGCTTCTATTCTTTTTTCTAATATTTTCAACTAATGCCAGTCTTTACTCAACTAAAAGTCTAATATTAGAGGCTAACAATAATTAGTTGTGTTAATATATGAGGTTAAGTTATTATTTATTTAACATTCAATTCAAATCTCAAAAAAATATCTAGGGCAGTATGAAAACAATAGAGCAAAAAATAAAACAGTCTGATTGGATCCGCAAAAAAAATTAATCAGTAGCACTGAATAGATCCATGCAGGGCCGACCCAAAGCACGTGCGATCGTGATCTCGATCATAATATCAGTATTAATGTTGATATTAATATTAACAATCAAGAACAAGCCTAGTCAAAGCACGTCAGCATATTTATTTAAATATTGTATATGTATTTTGAAACAATTATTTTAACATTTTATTGATACAAGTATTTTTAAAAACTTTTTTTAATAAACTATATTTTATATTTTATCACAAATTCATTACAACTGAAAGATAATAATTTGCATCAATATAATGTGAAAAAAAAACCTAAAAGACATTGATCTGATTGGCTTGGGAACGCCCCTGTACGGTTAGTCTAGAGATTATGGTTTACATATTAGTTTTATCATACAAACAATTTATAATGTTGCACTAGCGTTAATAAAATAATTAATCAAATAATTATAATAAGTTAGCGCACAGCCACAGCTTCGATTTAATATCGAGAGTATATAATCAACAAAACATATTTATTATAATTAATAACTAATGGATAATTGGCATAAAACAATAGATAATTCTATCGCTTACGAACGAGGATTACCTACTGATTTGATGAATTAAATAAATTACAAAAAATATTTGAATGAATTTAATGTTTGATTATGTCGTGTGTATGAATATTCATGTTGTGTATCTGTTCTTTATTTATGAAGCATTGAGACTGCTTGCCGCTCAGCATTGCGCTTTGCATTTTATGCTAAAATAAATTTTACCATCAAATAAAATATAATAATAATAACAATGGATAATTAAACATTTCTTTTTTAACAATTCTACACTTTTGAGCGCTTTGAGCGATATTTAGGTCAAGCGAAGGCAATATACTTCGTTTACTGACCTTGTTCTCTTTACCCAAATACAATAATGATCTTGATAAAACAGTCATACTCGAGACAAAGAAATTGATCATTTTTATTCAGTAAAAATTGAACTTTTTACTACTATTAATTATTTTTCTTTGTCTCTACACTGCTAAAAAACTATTTATTTGTGGTCTTGATACGCTTGAAGGCTAATGAAGGTACCAAGATGTAACCGTCAATTTTGAAGAAATCTTCAGTTGTATGAAATCCCTTACCTTGCACTCGCACGTGGTGCATTTATCGTGCGGGTCCTGCCAGGCGCTACCGCTTTCATGAATTATACCAGCATAACTGCATGGTTGTGGATGACTTGATGATGATAATGAAGTACTATTTGTGTGGGTTTCTCTCGCACACGGATCATCTTCACAACGTGGACAACAATCTCCATCTTCTGTTACTGGATTGCTACATGTTATAGGAGGACATTCCATTTGCCAGCAGTCGATTTCACCATACTAAAAATTTAAAAAATTTGTTAATTAATTTTTTACTGAAAAATATTTGTAGTTATGAATAAATATTATAATTTATTAAATGCGAACTGAAAAGTTTCAAGCATTTTCAGTGATAGGATTTATTCTGGTCATTCATGTCAGCTAAATCACTCAGTCAATATTGGTGGAAGATAAAAAAGTAGACACGAACCAGGCACTCGCAGGTCTGACATTGATATATCCATCGTTCTCCACTCCTAAAGACCAAATGATGAAGCTCCTGATGCCGGCATGAGGCGGCAGGATCACATTGAGGACAACACTTGTCTCTGCGGCTGCTTGGAGCACTACAATCACAAATAGGATCTCTACAGGTGATCACTCCATCTTTACAAGTGCACTGTCTGCACGGATTTTCAACTGGAGCAAAAGTATCTCCATTTTTTACTTCATGATCTTCATACCAGCAACCTAAAAAAAAACATTAGCTTCGTGATTATCCAGTTTAACAAAAAAATAAAATTATTAAATACAAAAATTATCGATTGAACAATAACTAACTTAATCGACATTCTTTCTCTGGATGAGACTCCTCTGGCGGGCAAGCACACTCGTATCCACCATCAGTGTTGATGCATTTGGCGGTTGGATGACAGGTGTGTTTTCTCTCAAGTGTCTGATCATTACACTCGTCAATGTCAACGCACTGAGTACCTTGAGTACCATCATGAAGCGCACTTCTGTAGCCAGGCTTGCAACGACAATAATACCAACCAGGCATATTGAAGCAGGTCGAAGATTGATGACATCTGTGCAGATCACTCGCGCACTCATCTAGATCAAGCTCACAGCTGTTACCAATGTAACCTCGTCGGCAAGAACATCTGCCAGGCGCTATACATTCTCCTCCATTTTGGCAGGTTTGATTACATACCGCTACAAAAAACATCAATATTAGCTAATATTTAATTAAATTTCAATGACAATTAATTTAACTGAATTTTTGAAAGTTTTTATCTTATTGATTACTTCGAAATGGAAGAAAATTATTGATAGATTGGTAACATGTAAATTTTTCTTAAAACTGTGGATTTTATTAATTACATTGTAATATTATAATAAGCTTTATAACATTCAATTCATTGTTAAACTTTAATTATCAAGAAATTAGATCTAGAATTTAAATGAAATAAATAAAATTCATCAAATAAATTAAGTGTTGAAACATTTTTGGCACATTGATGATTAGCTAATAAAAGAGGTGTTGGAAAAAACTATTAACTTAGATTTTCAAGTATCTAATTATCCAATTAACAAAAAATTAAAAGAAATATTACGTTTGCAAGTGTAGCCGTCTCCGGTATATCCATCTTTGCAAATACAGTAGTAGCTACCAGGCGTATTGACACAAGTCGCATGTTCAGAACACGAGTGCTGACCAGTCGTACATTCGTCCAGTTCAGCACAGTTGAATTTATCGACCCTTTGGTAACCAGGAAGACACTCGCACGTGTACGAACCAATAACGTTAACACACCGAGTATTTTTATTGCAATGGTGTCCTTCTAGTCCACCTTGTTGTTTACATTCGTCAACGTCTAAAAAAATAAATCCTTTATAAATAAAGCTTTTTCTTCCACATTTACTTAATACAAGCATATTATACAACACAAAGATTAAATATATTATGTATTGATTATTTATTGTTTTTGACGTAATTAATGAATAAATTGAATGAAATTAAGCTTAATACCGTGACAATTTGGGCCATCTCCTTGGAAACCGATATTGCAGTGGCAGGCATAAGTCGTCTGGAGATTTAGGCAGGATGCATTTACATGACAATTATGGCCTTTTGCACAGTAATCCACTCCTGGTTAGGTAATATTAATTCATGCAATTAAGAAAGTTAATTGGTTAATATAAGAAGTTATTAATGCATTAGTGAGCATGGATGGAAATCGCAAATTCATATCGTAACACTTTTGATTATGTTTTTATAACGATAGAACAATTAGTCTGTTTAAGCTTTATAATTAATTTAGTCTTCCAGTTCATTCAGCAGAAATAAATTTTTTGTTACTAGTAATTATAGAAGAGATTATTATTTAATTCGATGTTATTAATTAATAAAAATTCTTTAATTAAGTTATGAATTAGTTAATATTTTTGGAAGGTTACTGTAAAATGAATGAAAAATACCTGGACAAAATTTGCAGCATTCTTCAGCCACAGTGATTTGCTCATTTGGTGGACAAGGCAACGGTGGGCATCGAGTTTCAGTATCAAACCGATGACAAGTGAAACTACCATCAAAGCAGTCACATTCAACACACTGTTTGGGTCGTACTTTTTCTCCATGGTCATAAATTACTCCATGTAAATAACATTCCTCTGTAAATATAGTTTAGATGAATTCATTTAAGTTACAAGAATTAAAAGTAAACGAGAAAATATTAATAACTTCAATAAAATAGAAGAGTCAATTTACTTAGGCAGATTGGACAACACTGGCCCTGAGGTATAACTGGATGTTTGCAATTAACGGGTGCACAAGGCGTAGGTTTACATTCAATTTCTCCATGAACACACGAACAACGTTCACAGCCTTTTTCCCATGTTGAACCATCTTCGTGAGTCGTTCCATTTGCACTGCAGGACTTTTGACACTCACACTCTTCCACTTTGCTTATTCTACCTTCTGCAGCAGCTAGCTGGAAAAAAGGATATACATGAGAATTAATTATTTTCTTTTATAAGTCATTTTCAAGTAAATTTACTTCATTTTAAATAATAATTGTATTAAAAGAAATATATTTAATTTAAAAACACTTACCCTGTGAGTCAATTCGTTTAAATTGTGCATGAGCTGTTCTACTGTATTTTGAAGAATAGAAAATTGACCACAGGTAGGACAGGATGTATCAAGTTGAGGACATTGGGACAAATAGCCATGAGCACCTGGGATTAGTTTAACATCTTGTAGGGCCCCCTGTTAAAAAATATTTAGTCAAGTCATTGAGCTATCAACAAGCTCTAACAGGAAATTAAACGTCACAATAGATAATTGGAGCCATCAAATTCAAAGTTATGATGACGAAGAGTTATTTACCCTATTTATATAAATTCATTGACACGCACCTTGAAGAGAAAGTGTTTGGCATTTCTCTGACCAACCCAAAGTTGAAGTTGTGGCAAAGTAAAATTGGTGTCTGGTGGTCCAGGCCTTAAAAGACGTCTGTAAAGAGGGTGGCAGTCGACTAGAAGCTCGACCTGCGAGCCACTGATACTCAAAGCGACCTTGTGCCACACTCCATCAGCAAGACGGAAAGGAAAGGCCTCCACATGTACGGCACCATCTCGCCGTGATACGTAATGAAGACGAAGTTCGTCTTTTCGACCGCTGCTCTGCAGCTCCAAGTACCTGTTTAATTAAAAAATCAATGAATATTCATCGTTTAGCACCACTTTATATTCTTATACTTAGAGATATCGATTAAAGTCCATTTTGTGTGTCATCTACTGATGGCTAACTAGATTCAAAATGGTAAACAATGATCCATGAACATACCTATTATTACCATGAGAAAAGGCTATAATTGTTCCGGAATTAGCCTCTTCTTGTCGAAGAGAAGCAGCAACAGTAAACTCCGGAACCCGCCGGAGTAATGCAGCTGCTCGTTCAAAGTTCGCCTGACTTAGTTGAAGGTCCCTCTCCTCGCCTGCAACACAACCAACTTATTTAATGCCATGAACTAATATAAGTGTAACTAAAAACTACAAATGAACAATTAAACAGGTATCGTACAAAAGACTTCATTTTATTTAATTAATAAAAGGGTTCAAAAAATAGCCCTCATGAGTTTTATGTAGCTTGTGGAGAACCCTTTAGACCCTTGGTAATATGATATTTTAATGCAAGTTGGTCTGATGATTATCGCTATAATTTATTGAAATATCATCTCTTTATATTCAAAAGTATCGAATCTCACATGTAGCACGCTTTGCAGTTTTTAAGAGCACCTGTTAGATAATATGACTCTATCATCAACACCCAATACACGATAAGTTCATTGATGAACAGAGAAGAAAAATGGAAACTAGTGGCAGGGCATTTGCTGCAGTCAGGCTTCATGGACTTGGCATTAAACTACCCCTTTCGGTACATATCTCATTTCATACATGCCGCTGTCTTGGTAACTTAAAACTATTGCTGGTAACCATTCTCGTTATCGACTGCAAGCAGAGCAATGGAACTTCCAGACAACTGCAGATAAGTCAAGACTTTCCCCTTACAAGAGATACAAGTACGTCTGCTACATAATAGTACAAAAACAAGATAGAAGTGAGATAAAAATAATAATAGGAGCAGAAGGTGCGACAGAAAATTTAACCTCCGTATAATTACCCGGGTCTTCAAGCAATTATGTAAAAGGAAGGCACGTGCCAGACGTCAAGTTACGCGTCGATGGAAATTTTTACACTTGAATTCACATAAAAAGCAACCGGTTCTTCTCTTCTCTTATTTCAGACTAGACAATGAGTCTTCCTGATCCCTTTCTAATAAGAAAGAGAAGAAAAATGGATAAACACACCCTACTGAGCTATTTTTTATCAGAAATATATAGAATAAATTATGCTAATCTCTCATAGAATATTAATTCAAGCAATAAATAAATTCTTATGGAAATAAGTGGAAATCAACAAAACATTTGAGGTCAATGCAGTAATTAGTGATTTTCCTCTTTCAACATGTGGCCAATAATTAGACTAAAGCCACTAACTAGAACTTTATCACAGTAATTATTATCAGAAATTTATCTAATGAAGAACATTAGCTGGCTAATCAACAGCCCCATTTTTGAGATAATGAATAGAACTTAAAAATTATTTGCTGTGTTTATGAAAAAATGTTTATATCAATGTCAATAAAATAATTTTGTAAAGTTTAAACGTGAATTTTTACTTGATGAAGTTTGCTGTAGTTACTTCTGTTGTAAATATTGCAATCCATGAGACATTAATTAATTACATGCAGCGATCAGATATGAGAGTTAATTATTTTATTCAGTTTTAATTACTTCAACGATTCAACTTAGATGATGATAAATGAATAATAAGAATGTTTTTAATTTATCACAGAATTTTTTAGATTATTATAAAAGAATGAATAAAAGCTGAATATTATTTTCTTATTTTTTTTTTTTTTTATTGAGTCAAATATTTTGTGTAAGTGGATTAGTTATTTATCCTTTTGAAAGCATTTAATGGAATAACATTTTACAGCATCTATTTCCCTTTTTTAACTGTGAAAAAATAAATGTTTGTTGAATTATTCCAGAGCTTTCGTGGTTCATTTAATTTTGAATGGAAGCAGTGAAGCACCACGTTCAGACAATATTTTGACCTCGAAGGGCGAATCGTAAAGCCTGCAATTTCAAGCAGAAGGCGACAAAGTAGGGTGAGCATCGCCCTTTTTAACTATCTGTATATATTGTAGAGCTCTATGAGAGAATGGGGCGATAATTCCTTTTTTATTTGTATTTGCAAAAAAAAAAACGTTTAAAACTTTGTAATTGAAATTTTTTTCAACCAGACCTTTCCATTTTCCATTTATGGTAAAATAATTGTCTTTTTTTCAGGGTTGTCGACCTCTGTTTCTCCATTTATTTCGAGGTCATTTTTCGGACCTCAACCAACGAAAATATAAGCCCTTGAGACACGCAACACCACCCTGATCTTCCTCAGCAAGGTATTAGGGAGCTAAGGATAATTGAACGTCCTCAGCAAACTATCAGACATTCGCCGAAAATTATTGCGTGAATTCTAACAGAGCTTCTAGAAAACTCTAGATGATTATAATCTTCTCCCAAGACACCTGGATACTTTCAGGGTCACGAAAATTATAACTTAGATATGATGGATATGTAAGAAATGAATACATGAAGTTATCACCTACCTTGAAGATAATATGCTGGTTTCAGTCTGACGAGGCCAGGTACTTGTGTTACACCCTGCCGTGTTGTATTGTGCAGTTGCAAAGCTGCTAGAAGGTCTATACTACCCCCCAGTTCGCTTCCAGCTCTCGTTTTAACGACAGTCACTGCTGTTGCAGTTACTACTGTTGATGCTGAACTCGTCGTTTCCTCCTCTATACTATCGCTCGTCGCTCCCATTACTGAAAGATTCATAAATTATTATTATAAAGAAATTATTTATTATTATTAGTTGTAACACTTCAATTTATCGGTGAATTAATATGATAAATTTAATATTCATAACACGAGTTTTCATTATTTGTCAAATAATTAACCTTTCTAATATTTAAATATTTGATTTAAACTGTGCAAGAGGATAAAAATTAAATATTGAAGAGATTTTCTTCAATTAAATTGTGCTAATTTGATAATGAATTTTATTAATGAACTAGAATAATTTTTAAGTAGAAATATTTAAGTTTGTGCCGGCATCCAAAATAAATTATTCTATGTTTCAAAACGTTCTCATTAAAACTTTTTTTTGTCATACCCTCATATGAAATTAGATTTTATTTCCTGCTTGAAAACTTTATTGCCTCACAGAGAATGACAAAATTTCTTTGTGCGCATGTCCATCCGAATTTCATCTTTCTCTACCAGCAAAACTTGTCGCTTTATTTACCTTTAAACTGAGAATAAAATCTAATCTTTTTTAACAATATGACAAAAAATATATTTTCATCATGGAAGTAAAGCCTTTATCTCGGGACGAAATTTTTCTTGCAAATAAAATGTTTTACTTGTACTCTCTTGGTGTAAAATGTTCTATTATGAATGTAATTTTTGCTTATTACACATAATAATTGATTAAATGTTATGTACACTAATCTGATATTTACCTTTTAAGTTAATTTAACATATAATATTAACTTTACTTAAAACGTAATTCCTGTTGCATTTGCAAATCTTATGTAAAAATCTTGAATGAATGATTGAAGTGTATTGGCCAAACAAAGCATTCTATAGTGGCCTTCATTAGACCATGCACTTGAAGTCGATGCTTGCAATCATTATTTTATAATAAAAATCAAAATTTCATGATAAGATAAAGAATAATATTCTCCATTGTGAAGTAAATTATTTTTAGTTATGCTATTTTTTTCATATGAATTCACTTTGATAGTATTGACAGTGATGATATTTTATGACTCCTTAATTTGAAAAAAATCAGAGTTTATTGCTACAGTTCTATTGGTAATAATGATATTGAATTTCCACTGAATACTTCAACGATACTTGGATACTTTGAAGGTCGTTGAAAAGCTCAACGCCTATACAGCAAATTATACAATCAATATCAGTAGCAACAAATGCCTTCAGATCCAGTACAAGTTAAGTGCAATTTTCCTAAATTCGCATATTTGATATATATAGTATATATACTAGAATTATGCAATTCTTCAATAATTTTTATTCTCAATTGGATACTTTTTTTTAAAATGCATAATAAAAATTATATAACATTCGTGAAGAAAAATTTTTATTGGATTTTTATACATCATTTACATTTTACATCAAGATCTATCTACATATCTCTTATTCCAAAGTATGAACCGTATTTGTTTTAAAGATGAAAATACGTCTAGTTTATTTTAATGTTTTTTTATCCAAATAAAAATGAATAACCAGTGATAAATCTATAAAACAAATTAAACAAATAAAAAAATGAATTTCAAACTTTAGTATTTTTTATAATCATTCTTCTGCACTTTCTCACACTTTTATTTCAGTCCTAATAGGGCTGCCATTAACGAAAAGCATGCTGCCAAGACATATCTCTTTTTTCCTCAATTTTCCTAGTGTCAATTAAGCTTAGAGCTCATGTGTGTGAGCATAAGGGAACAGGGAAAAAGAGAAGCCCTTGAGCCCCTGTATTTTACTGACACCACAAATGTCTCATTCGTTGTATAACAAAGCCAAGCTTTAGCTGCGTGGACTCACTCAAGTAAATCGTCCGGTAAATTAATGGCACTGCTCATACAGTTACTCTCATTTTGCTATACTATTTCTATACTACTACAACTGCTGCTGATACTACTGCAATTACTACTACTGATATTTCTATTCTTTCTCTAACTTTATCTCATCTTTCTTCAGAATTACGTCATGTGGTTTTGCTTATACAGAATCCGACGTAAAGAAGAAGCGGGACGAAAGAGGAATAGGGTGATGGCAGACTGCCGGGCGTCGCGACGACGGGGCTATCGAACCGTACGTGGGTCTTATCCTTTCATTACTTGCATCACTCGGACTCTTTTATCTTGAAAGCTTTTCAAAGCACATTCCTATCACCTTCCTTCAAACTTAATATCACTCAGGAAATAGGTGCAATAACAGAAATATTTTCCTTTCTGGTCTTTTTTGTGAATAATATTATTTTGGAATGATATTCCAACAAATAATTGATACATCAAACAAGAAACATAGATATATTGATTTTTTTTAGTATGAAAAAATGTAAAACAATTCTATTTTGAATTTTTATTAAAAATCAATTTAAAATATAAAATGTAGAGATTCATGTGATACTATTGACATTAATGACATTTTTTTGATAATTGAACAGTTTTTTTTCAAATTATAAACTTTTTTTATTTATAAAATACGTGAGATAAACACTGAAAATCCAGAAAAATTCAAGTGTTCAGTGATAAATCACTTTAAATGTTTAATAATTGAATACCTAAGTGTTTACAATGTTGAGCACCATTTACAAACTATAGCAGTTTGGTAAACAGCAAGAAGCATCTAAAAGTCATCCACAAAATTGCTATTGTTCGTTTATGATGTTTAACATTGCAAACATTTTAAGTGTTTAGTTGCTAAACACTTGGATTTGCAATGAAGATCTTCACAGTTTATTTTTATTCTATAAAGTGAATTTTTATCACTTATATGAAGTTTAATTTAAAAATGTTAGATCTTAAAAACTCCTTTAGAATTAGCAAACGAAATTTTTTATAACCCTTAATCAAAATAGCTATAACTACAATAGAAATAATAATATTTTCAAAATTAGTAAAAGCTCTAAAGATACTTGTAAAGATTTGAAATTGAATAACCAAATACTAACGTAACATACTCCGTCATTTTTATAATGTCATTATTTTTCATGCTTGTTATATAAGATCATTTGTAATTAATGCAAGTACAATAAATATGCCAATTTTTTCACCGTAGCCTTCAATAATGACATTTCTTGATTAAAAAAAAATAATAAAAATCTATAAGAAATGTTGATACTATCGAAAAAAAAAGTTCGTGAAGAGGAAATTAATTTTTTCTCTCATTTCCCTTACTAACAAAATTCAATTGCAATTTCGTGAAATTTTGGAAAAAAGCGTTTCCCATGTCATGATTTATTTGTCAAAGAAGATTTTGGCCAAATGCACTTTTCCACCCTCTTCTTTTATGCTCGACCATCATGAGAAAAGGTTCCGCTTTTGGTAAAAGGTAGTACGAGGGTTCACACCCGAATGCTATCGATCAATACCTAGAACAAAGCTTCCGTATTCTCCCTACTTCAAATGATGACTGACATGCTGAATACGTCTTAAGAAGGTGTTTGAAATATACAGGGAATATCATTATATCGGTTATTCCCCTGATTGTTATAATTTTCCTCTCAAGTTCCTCTAACAGTTTAATTACTTTTATAAAGAATACTTATTACACCTATTAAATCGGATGCTAATTTTATGCTGAATTTATAGATTTTTTCGACCTTGAATTAAATTTGAATTTATCAATTTCACACATTTTTTCCTTTATCAATAAAAAACAATTAATTCATAGTTTACAATATTTTTTAGGCCTTTAAGATAAGAATTCTTGAATTATTAATCCTTTTTCATCGAGAAAATCAATTTAAAAAAATCTATTTTATTGATTATTGATAGAATGAATTGTTTTCTTTTTTCTAAATGATGTTTCAATAGGTACAAATTAATTGAAGACAAAACTCGAAAGGTAAATTCCTGTAGCCATGACAGACGTGTGAGTCGAGTAGTTAAGGTCAAGGTCAAAACTAACTCGATCGACCGGTCGTCGACTTTGACTTTGCATTTATATGCGACATATAACTATATCTGTGTAATTAAATTGAATATAAATAATTAAGGAAAATCAGTAATTGACTAGCATAACACTTATTTATTATAAGTAGTGAGTAAGTAAGTAAGTATTACACTCTTACTATACTCTATACATCACCAGATGTCCTTAACATTAATGCTTCCTAATAGAATTTTTATCACAGTTTCTGTCCAGCCATGTCGCCAGTTCGTCAGTAAATTGCTTGTCAGTTTTTCTCTTTTTTACGTTAAGCAAGGGAAAATGATGAAGAAAGATAGATGTACTGTCACAAAAATTGTGGTAAAGGAAAATAATTTTTCATGACAACCAGCTAGTGGTGAAGAAATGAAACAAGAATGCTTCTAACGAGACAAGTTGAAAGAATGAAGGCCGCCAAGCAGCCTCAAGACTAATCTCTTCCTCAATCATAGAGCTTTTGTATTGCGACTTGCAGCCGCAAGTTGATGCTCTACAGGGCCCGTCGAGACACTTCTTCTTTATTTTGTTACTTCTCTTGTCACCTTCACTAATCAGTTGAGATAAAAAATTTTTTTCTTCTTCATTAAAGGGACGGAAGTGTGGACACTTCAACTATTCTTCTAATCCGTGGAGGCAGTCAAAAGCAAAGTTTAATGAAAGTTCATGAAAAAAATATCTTTGTTTGAAGAGGTTTCTCATCCTATATTATTTAAGAGTTAGTCAAAGAAACAAATCAGATAATATTTACATATATACAAAATTTTAAAAGTGATGTGAAGAGAGAAAAAAATGTTACAACAGTAGATAATAGTATAGGCAGATTATCATAAAAATAAATTATTAATAATGATAAATAGGTAATGATGAAATGATTGACTATCTCTTAAGCTTAAACTGAATGGAAAAAAATTTCTAAACTAGGCTGAGGTAAAGAAATCATACAAATTACTGTCATCACGAAAGGTGAACACACATTTCACTTACAGAAACAGATCTATAATTTTCTCGATTTTTTCCCTAGTCGAAGTTTAAAAAACACTGAACTTTTCAACCATTTACTCATTAGTCTCTTTTACTCTGTTTGAAT